AAATTGTATATTTATTCACAAAATCAGGTAAAAATCCTCAGTTACAGAAATTCGGCAGAGCACCATGACCAAAATGTCTTATGGCCATCAGTAGTTAATCCCAAAGATGTAAGATTATATATTTTATTGACATCCGGAGGAGGTAAATTAAGCACAAAAGCTAGTTTTGACAACATGTTCCAGATTATTTTAACGCCCTTATTGACAAGTTTTTCAGACAATATAAATTTTTTTTTTGTGCGAGTAGGCATATAACAATATAACTAATCCGTTTTAAAATTTGGCTTTATTCATTTTTTTTTGTTAAAAACACTTAACACATATAACACATGTATTCGGTGTGAATACAGCATGTGTTTTTACCGCGTTGTCGGTCAATATCCACAATAACAAAATTGTTTGCACAGCCAATTTTTTACAAATACATGATGAAAAATTCGCCATAAAAAATATATTGTTGGAAAATAATTTTACGACTTACAATCTAAAACTTATATTTAATTTAATGTAATTTAGTTAAATTGAATTGAATACGATCATCAATTCAAACCAACTCTATATTTAATAATATAGAGTAACAAATCGTTTTATTGTTATTTGTGCGACTTGTAAGAGTAGACCAATTACATCAATAGACTTTTAAAAATGTTTTATCATGTTTCGTTCAATTCTTTTATATCATATTGTAAAATTGGATTTTTGTCCCTCGTGATTCCTAGGTTAAGCCCAATACTTATTTACGCATTGAAACCAAAAATAAATATATAATTGGTTTGAATAGGTGTTAGTGTTCAGTACATTTTGACTAAAAATTGTTTTGTTATGTACCTTAATATTGATTTAGTATGCTGTGACATATATTATGGCAACCTACGTTTTAGACAGCCCGCCTGATTTAAAAAAAAATAAAGTTGCTCATCTCTCAAATAAGGGATTAAATCCGGGAATATGTTCTAGATTGTAAATCTGGTAAAAAATTCGTCATTCGACCGATTTTTTACTATCAATATTTACCGACAACGCGGTAAAAACACTTGCTGTATTTACACCGATTACATTTTGTTATGTTTACTTTCGATTCAAAATTTTAATAATTGCTTAAGTGTTTGTAACAAAAAAAGTAACAAAACAGATTTTAAAACGGATTAGTCATTTTAATATATGCCTACCCATACAAAAAAAAAAATTTACATTTTCTGAAAAACTGACTACCCTTTTATTTCATATTTGGTAATAAGAGTAGGATTTTTTGGTAAAAAAAAAATGTTCATCAGTTACGAACAAATTTTCTAGACAACAAAAAATGTCGGTGTAAAATGTTAATCAATGTTAGAAGCAGTACTTGACTTGAGAAAAAAGTAGTAGAGGTACTCTAGATACTTTTAAAAAAGTAGCGTTCCTAGCATTTTAATATCCCTCACATTACCGCGGGGGTCTTCGCCCTCACACCCCTCTTAAACGGTGCCCTAAGAAACATTAATAAAAAACCATTAAACAAAACAGAATAATATAAAAATTATCTAAGTATAACTTGTCTTATTACAAACGGTTACAAAGTTTTTTTTATATAATTTAATCATTTTTCATTTTTAAAAATCTTTAATCTTCGTTTTAAAGATTCCACGGTACCATTGATTAAATGTAAATATAAATACAATTGTACAGGGTGATTACAAAAGAATAAGAGCTGCACGACCTCTTAAAATGGCCGCTGTAACCTCAAGTTAGATTAGGTTACCGCTAGGATAATGTGGGGTGAACAAAATCCACACACAACCCTGTAACACTTAAGAGACCCGCCAAAAGTTAACGTGTTTTGAGCGATGTCTCATAAGAAAGTGTATGGACGATTTTTTTTTAATGAAGCCACTGTTACAGGCAACTCGTACCTTTAAATGTTGAAAAGTTGGCAATGTGATTTTTTTTTCGTGTCTTTGTGCCGCCACAACTACTTACTTGTGAACATTGAAGATTTGAAGGCACGCATAATTTTCGCTGTACAGACAGTAACTACTGACATGCTCTACAGAGTGTGGGAGGAATTTGCATACCGACTTGACATTGTTCGGGTTACTCAAGGAGGACACATTGAACATTTATGATTTTTTTGATTTTTAAAAATACTTGAGAATGTAGGGGCCATTTTAAGAGGTCGCGCAGCTCTGTAGCTTGTACCGCTTAAAAAATACAGATATATGAAACCGACTTATTCTTTTGTAACCACCCGTATTTAATCAACGACGGTACTTATGTAAATGGCGTATTTGAAATTTAAACGTGCAAACGGAGCGATTAGTTTCAACATGTTGTCAGAACTAACTTTTTTGCTTAATTAACGTCCTCCAGATGTCAAAAAAATATATAATCTTGCTTCTTTGGGATTAACTACTAATGGCCATAAGACAATTTTTGTCTGTAGATATTTACCGACAACGCGATAAAAACACTTGCTGTGTTTACACTGAGTACGTGTGTAATGTTTGCTTCAGATTCAAATATTTTATAATTACAATTTATACAATTAGTTGACTATACAACATTTTAAATCGAATGAATTATTAGACGAAAAATATATGCTTATTCACACAAAAAATGTCGGTGTACAATGGTATTCGTCGTTAGAAGAATATCTTTCTGAACAACTTGTCATAAAGAGCATTATAATATATTACATCCTTGAGATAACTGATAAGTGGATTATCTTGTATATGCACCATGATAAAGCCGGGCACAACTATTAGAGTTGCTAGAGTAAATTTAACGAGCGCATTTGGTAAACATTTGTTATATTGTATTCACATGTTGTCATTTTATTTTAGGCACAAATTCGCCTTCATAATTGAGGTTCTTTTTTCATGCCAACAAAGGTATGCTTTGGTCTATTGTATATTATGTAAATATTTTATGGCGATTAAACTAGAAAGATTTTAACGCATGTACTTAAGGCCCATACTCAGATGTCACACATTTTGCATGTTAAAATATCAGTTTTTTAAATTCTCTAAACAGAACCCCCAAAATTATTTTAAACTAACTGATTCAAAAAAATATTTTAAAATAGAAATGTATTCTTGTTACGATACCTAATTTAATTTAATATTTTTTAGGTCATTAAAAAAAAAAGTTGTATACAAGATGTGAATAGCAAGTTTGGGAGAGGGGTAGAAAAAAAAATTGTGAGAAATCGAGATCAAAATGCATAAAAACACTATGTTAAGAAAACATGTAACTTCTTATTAAACCCAGCGAAGTATTGAGGGGTACACGATAAGTTGATCAGTCTGTATACTATAAGCACAGTATAACTCAGTACTATAGGTGTTGGTTAAATACATTTAGATTTTTTAGTATGTGGCATTACAAAGCTTATTGCAAAACATTTTCCACAATAATAAAACCAACAGCCATATTTAAAACTCTAACTAACAATTGGTTGTTTATGTAATCATATATGTATGCGGCAAATCAAATAAGCACACGGAATTCATGTTTGCTAACAATTTTTATAAGCGTCATAGGCATATATTTTGTTAAGGCTGAACTGTAGGCAATCGTGTAAAACGTTTCTCGTTTAGTATACTTTATTGTTACACCGGTTTAAGACTTCTGTTCTTTCGCAAAGTGGTTTCTGAGGAAAATACAAAAATTCTATATCCACGAAAATGTCGTTTAAGTTCATTTTCATAGCAACCGTTATGGTTAGCTACAGTTTAAAAATGGCGTCTACAACTATAAGCATTGTAGATGAATATGACGTAGAAGACGACGATTTGGATCAATATATTCTTGTTCAATGTAGCTACATACATAGTGCTCAAACTTACATGGAGGTGATCGACGAATTGATAGAAAATAAAGATAAGTTGGAGACAGTTCCTGAAGGTAAAGATCTATCGTATACCAAACAAGCTGCTAAAATCAATGCGACCTTCCATAATGTCGTTGGGATGCAGAATACTGGTTTACAGAACGTAATGTGGATATTTTCAATGTATGCCGAGAGAGTACTGGTGTACATGGAATCTGTCATAAAAAAGGTCCCGGCCGAAGATCAAAAAAAAATCGTATCTGTTCACCACTCCGTATATTTATTTCTCGAAAATTACATGGACTCTGCCGTCTGCGCCGATTATAATAAGGGCGCAGGGATGGGTTTAGACGTCTTGCGGAGTAGTACTGATAATTTGGAAATTCTACTGACTACTCTCGAATCTAAGACATCAGTTTTCATGCAGCGAATAGACATAAACGCCAACGAATACGGTATCAGCACCGACGGGCACGAACAGTTTAATTTGAAAAAGTTGAGCTTGAACGGACTGCTGGCGGACATGGAAGCGACTAAACAAATTTTAGAAATTTCCGGAGTAGAGCTAAATTGGGACCAGGTGTTGCTGCATTTAAAAAAAGATTACGATTTGGGAACGCAAGTCAACGGTAATAAATTGAGTCAACAGATAAAGTCATTGATAGAATTTAATGACGAGTTTGCTATGATGGTAAAAGTAATTATGATTCGCCTGATGTACAAGACCTTAATATATAATGAATACCCGGATAACTGGAGCGAAATGGGACCTAATATTGTTGAGTTATACAACTATTTGAGTCCACAAGATGATATGAATTACATAACAAACATGGTTGAAAATGACACTAACGTTTCAAACAAGAGGGAGACTATTGTCTCTTTAAAAATGCATCTATGTGATTTACGTTCGCCGTATAACTTTACCGATTTGCGCCCATCTAGTAACCAACAACCGTGTACAGAGTTTCTACAAGCCGTAAAACGTTTTGTCAACACTTTCAAAAATAACGCTTTATCTAACATAAACTTCAGTATAATTAAAACATTTAGACAACTTACATCTACAGACGAATTCAAAAATTTAGTACATTCTGAACGTTCTGCGGAAATACTTAACTCTGTAGCACAAAATGTGTCATAAGATGATATTGATTAAAGTATAATAATTTAAGCCAATTAGGGCGCATAGGTTTGCTGTAATATTATAATAAAGATTAAAAAAAACAATTGTCATATTCTCCTCCAATATAACTTAATTCTTTACTGTACTGTTTATGCATTTCATTTCAATTATGTCAAAAATGTCTATAAAAATTGTAATATTGACTAATGTACATTAGATTATAACATAACGAAAAATAAAGTTTGGTCAAATACTCATAATTTTCTTGTTTATTTTTTGTTTGACAGTAAGAAGAACCTCACTCTTTTTTTCCAACGTAAGTTGTAAGTAATACAATCATAATAATAGCTACTCTCACCTTTGTGTATTGGTAACGTTGGTGATCACAAAAATGTTTTATTTTGAATATTTATTCTAAACGTTGAAATCATATTATAGTACATTTCATCGAATAAAAACCATACTAAGGATGAACATTTGAAATGCATACTATTAGAACTGCATTGTTAATGCAGAAAACTTGGAATTCCATATTTTATATAATGTGTAATCATTGTTACAGATAAAGCGCCAATATTAAATTGTATATTTATTTCATTAAAATTATTCTCAAACTCAGGTAAAAATCCTCAATTTCAGACATACGGTGAGGCGCCATTACAAAATTGTCTTATTGCCATTTATACTTAATCCCAATAATGTAAGGTAATGCATTTTATTGACATCTGGAGTTAAGCAGAATAGCTAGTTCTGATAACGTGTTCCACTTAATTTTAACGCCCTTTTTGACAAGTTTTTCAAAAAGATATTCTTCTAACAATGATTAAAATTGTACATCGACATTTTTTGTTGTCTAGAAAATTTGTTCGTAACTCATGAACATTTTTGGTTTACATTAACAACCAATTGTTTTTTAAAATATTCTTGTTTTCCCAGTATCAGTTTTAAAGATGGTTATTGGATTTTTCTTATGGAAAATGTTTTGCAAAAAGCATTGTAATGCCGTCTACTAAAACGTATTTGGCCAACTCCTATAGTACTGAATTAGATCCATAGATTAACATTAAATTAAATTTTAATATTTAGATTGTTTAATATACTAAAAATGTAACAGAAAACTAAGTTGGGAGGGGGGTAGAAACATTGAAAAATTGTGAGAAATTGAGATCAATTAATTTTTTAGCAAACATGTATTCCGTATGCGTATTTGATTTGTCGCATACATCTGTGATTACACTAACAACCAATTGTTTGTTAAAATATTCTTGTTTTCACAGTATGAGTTTTAAAGTACGGATTGTTAGTTAGAACCTTCGATTTAAATCTAACAACCAAAGAGAATAATGTATTAAAAAGGTTGACTGGTCGATAACCAGTTTTGGATAACTATTTTTTATGTTTTTAGAGTTTCAATTATATTATTATTTATTATATTTTATGATGAATTCTCCATCACTTATAGGAAAAAAGAGGCTGTGCAAACCATTTTGTTATTATAAATATTTACCGCCAACTTGCTAAAAACACTTGCTGGGTTTGCACCGAGTGCGTGTGTAATGTTTGCTTCAGTTTCAATTTTTGTATGGTTTCATGTGTGTTTTTTTACAAAAAAATGGACTATACAAAATGTTAAAACTAATAATGTATTATACACAAAAATATACCTGTTTGCACAAAAAATGTAGGTGGAAAAGTGCATATATGTAAAATCTATTGACATTGGAATATGCCGTTATTCCAACGTTCAATTTCCAAGTGAGAATCCTCATTTCCAGACATTTGGTATGGCACCATGACTAAATTGACTTATGGCCATTAATAGTTAATCCCAGGGATGTAAGATAATACATTTTATTTACTTCCATAGAAGGTATAAGTTAAGCAGAAAAGCTAGTTCTGACAACATGTTTCTATTTATTTTAACGCCCTTTTTCATAAGTATTTTTGATGAAATATTAACCATGATATTACAACTACAGTTTTTGTGTGGATGGGCATATATTTTGTGTTTAATGTTTTATTAGTTTTTAAATTTTGTATGGTACTTTTTTTGTAAAAACACGCATGAAATTCTAAAATTATTGAATCTGAAGCAAACATTACACACATACCTCAGTGTAAGTACAGCAAGTGTTTTTACCGCGGTGTCGGTAATTATTTACAACAACAAAATGGTTTGATGGTTCAAAATGGTAAGATAATACATTTGATTTACTTCTAGGGAAGGAAAAGTTAAGCAGCATAGCTAGTTCTGACAACATGTTTCTATTTATTTTAACGCCCTTTTTGATAAGTACTTCAGATAGAAGACTAACCATGATATTACAACTACAGTTTTTGTGTGGGTAGGCATATCCAGACAAATATTTTGTGTTTAAAATTTTATTCGTTTTTAAATTTCCTATAATCAAATTTATGTAAAACACACACATGCAATTCTATAATATTTGAATCTCAAGCAAACATTACGCACGTACCTACTTAGTGTTAATACAGCAAGTGTTTTTACCGTGGTGTCGGTAAATATCTACAATAACAAAATGATTTCACAGCCAATTTTTACCGATGCAAAATGAAAAATACAGCATAAAATATACCCTTAGAATATAATTTTGCCATTTACAATCTAATACTTAGATTAAACCTAATTTAATTTAGTTAAATTATACTGAATACGAACACCAATTCCAACCAATTCTAGGTTCAACCTAGGAATCGACACGAGGGGAAAATCCATGTTTACAATTGTATTTAAAACAATTGAACAAAACATGATAAAACATATTTAAAAGTCTATTGATGTAATTGTTCTGACCGTACAAGTTATAGAAATAACAATAATGTTTTATATAGTCTTTTATTATTCTGTCAAATTAAGTCAGTTATTGCGTACATCTCTCTATCTTCTATTAACTCCCTCCATTATATTTGTATTTCTCTTATTCGGTGCTCAACACTCAAATTTCATATTTCATCGCCGTTATATATAAATTTTATTTTAGCTTCGATGCAAGGCAGAGAGGGTATTATTTAAAATGATGTAGGCATGTTGCCCTCTTCTACCAAACCGTATTGTTTGGTCTTATTTCGGTATAATTTTGACTACATGGTTTTATTTCTACGTTTTTTTTAACACAGTTCTTTTTGGATTGGCGAATTTAAAGAACTGATACTTTAAACATCCTAAATGTGTAACATCTGAATACATACATACCATTTACAACCCTGTATACTATGTATGGACCTTAAGTACGTGTGTACTTAATATAACTTTTATTTTAGCTTTGATGCAAGGCAGAGAAGGTATTATTTAAAATGATGTAGGCATGTTGCCCTCTTCCACCAAACCGTATTGTTTGGTCTTATTTTTGTTATTATAAATATTAATAACAAAATGGTATTAATTACTAATTAATACCATGTATTAATTACAAAGTAGTATTAACTACTAATGGCCATAAGACAATTTTGTCATGGTGCCTCACAAATTGAGGATTTTAACCTGAGTTTGAGAATAATTATAATAAAATAAATATACAATTTAATATTGTCGCATTATCTGTAACAACGATTACACATTATATAAAAGATGGAATTTTTCTGCATTAAAAATGCAGTTCTAATATTATCTATTTCACATGTTCATCCTTAGTATAGTTTTTATTCAATGAAATGTACTACAATATGATTTCAACATTTAGCATAAATATTCAAAATAAACCATTTTTTTTGTGATCACCAATGTTACCAACATACAAAGTTGAGAGTAGCTATTATTATGATTGTATTACTTACAACCTACGTTGGAAAAAAAGAGTGAGGTTTTTCTTACTGTCTAACAAAAACTGAACAAGAAAATTATGCGTATTTTACAAAACTTTATTTTTTATTATGTTATAAACTAATGTACATTAATCAATATTACAATTTTTATAGACATTTTTGACATAATTTAAATGAAATGCATAAACAGTACAGTAAAGAATTAAGTTATATTGGAGGAGAATATGACAATTGTTTGTCTTTAATTATTTTATTATCTGTAACAATGATTACACATTATAAAAAAGATGGGATTCCAATTTTTCTGTAATAACAATGCAGTTGTAATAGTATGTATTTCACATATTCATCCTTAGTATGGTTTTTATTCGATGAAATGTACTAAATATGATTAGAATAAATGTCAACGTAATTCAACGTTCAGAATAAATGTTGAAAATAAAACATTTTTTGTGATCACCAACGTTACGTAATGTTTGCTTGAGATTCAAATATTATAGAATTGCATGTGTGTGTTTTACATAAATTTGATTATAGGAAATTTAAAAACGAATAAAATTTTAAACACAAAATATTTGTCTGGATATGCCTACCCACACAAAAACTGTAGTTGTAATATCATGGTTAATCTTCTATCTGAAGTACTTATCAAAAAGGGCGTTAAAATAAATAGAAACATGTTGTCAGAACTAGCTATGCTGCTTAACTTTTCCTTCCCTAGAAGTAAATCAAATGTATTATCTTACATCCCTGGGATTAACTATTAATGGCCATAAGTCAATTTAGTCATGGTGCCATACCAAATGTCTGGAAATGAGGATTCTCACTTGGAAATTGAACGTTGGAACAATGGCATATTCCAATGTCAATATTTTTTACATATATGCACTTTTCCACCTACATTTTTTGTGCAAACAGGTATATTTTTGTGTATAATACATTATTAGTTTTAACATTTTGTAAAGTCCATTTTTTTGTAAAAAAACACACATGATACCGTACAAAAATTGAAACTGAAGCAAACATTACACACGCACTCGGTGCAAACCCAGCAAGTGTTTTTAGCAAGTTGGCGGTAAATATTTATAATAACAAAATGGTTTGCACAGCCACTTTTTTCCTATACGTGATGGAGAATTCATCATAAAATATAATAAATAATAATATAATTGAAACTCTAAAAACATAAAAAATAGTTATCCAAAACTGGTTATCGACCAGTCAACCTTTTTTAATACATTATTCTCTTTGGTTGTTAGATTTAAATCGAAGGTTCTAACTAACAATCCGTACTTTAAAACTCATACTGTGAAAACAAGAATATGTTAACAAAACAATTGGTTGTTAGTGTAATCACAGATGTATGCGACAAATCAAATACGCATACGGAATACATGTTTGCTAAAAAATTAATTGATCTCAATTTCTCACAATTTTTCAATGTTTCTACCCCCCTCCCAACTTAGTTTTCTGTTACATTTTAGTATATTAAACAATCTAAATATTAAAATTTAATTTAATGTTCGTCTATGGTTCTAATTCAGTACTATAGGAGTTGGCCAAATACGTTTTAGTAGACGGCATTACAATGTTTTTTGCAAAACATTTTCCATAAGAAAAATCCAATAACCATCTTTAAAACTGATTCTGGGAAAACAAGAATATTTTAACAAACAATTGGTTGTTAATGTAAACCAAAATTGTTCATGAGTTACGAACAAATTTTCTAGACAACAAAAAATTTCGGTGTACAATTTTAATTATTGTTAGAAGAATATCTTTTTGAAAATCTTGTCAAAAAGGGCGTTAAAATTAAGTGGAACACGTTATCAGAACTAGCTATTCTGCTTAACTCCAGATGTCAATAAAATGTATTACCTTACATTATTGGGATTAAGTATAAATGGCAATAAGACAATTTTGTAATGGCGCCTCACCGTATGTCTGAAATTGAGGATTTTTACCTGAGTTTGAGAATAATTTTAATGAAATAAATATACAATTTAATATTGGCGCTTTATCTGTAACAATGATTACACATTATATAAAATATGGAATTCCAAGTTTTCTGCATTAACAATGCAGTTCTAATAGTATGCATTTCAAATGTTCATCCTTAGTATGGTTTTTATTCGATGAAATGTACTATAATATGATTTCAACGTTTAGAATAAATATTCAAAATAAAACATTTTTGTGATCACCAACGACAAAAATTGTCTTATGGCCATTAGTAGTTAATCCCAAAGAAGCAAGATTATATATTTTTTTGACATCTGGAGGACGTTAATTAAGCAAAAAAGTTAGTTCTGACAACATGTTGAAACTAATCGCTCCGTTTGCACGTTTAAATTTCAAATACGCCATTTACATAAGTACCGTCGTTGATTAAATACCGGGTGGTTACAAAAGAATAAGTCGGTTTCATATATCTGTATTTTTTAAACGGTACAAGCTACAGAGCTGCGCGACCTCTTAAAATGGCCCCTACATTCTCAAGTATTTTTAAAAATCAAAAAAATCATAAATGTTCAATGTGTCCTCCTTGAGTAACCCGAACAATGTCAAGTCGGTATGCAAATTCCTCCCACACTCTGTAGAGCATGTCAGTAGTTACTGTCTGTACAGCGAAAATTATGCGTGCCTTCAAATCTTCAATGTTCACAAGTAGATGGCGGCACAAAGACACGAAAAAAAAATCACATTGCCAACTTTTCAACATTTAAAGGTACGAGTTGCCTGTAACAGTGGCTTCATTAAAAAAAAATGGTCCATACACTTTCTTATGAGACATCGCTCAAAACACGTTAACTTTTGGCGGGTCTCTTAAGTGTTACAGGGTTGTGTGTGGATTTTGTTCACCCCACATTATCCTAGCGGTAACCTAATCTAACTTGAGGTTACAGCGGCCATTTTAAGAGGTCGTGCAGCTCTTATTCTTTTGTAATCACCCTGTACAATTGTATTTATATTTACATTTAATCAATGGTACCGTGGAATCTTTAAAACGAAGATTAAAGATTTTTAAAAATGAAAAATGATTAAATTATATAAAAAAAACTTTGTAACCGTTTGTAATAAGACAAGTTATACTTAGATAATTTTTATATTATTCTGTTTTGTTTAATGATTTTTTATTAATGTTTCTTAGGGCACCGTTTAAGAGGGGTGTGAGGGCGAAGACCCCCGCGGTAATGTGAGGGATATTAAAATGCTAGGAACGCTACTTTTTTAAAAGTATCTAGAGTACCTCTACTACTTTTTTCTCAAGTCAAGTACTGCTTCTAACATTGATTAACATTTTACACCGACATTTTTTGTTGTCTAGAAAATTTGTTCGTAACTGATGAACATTTTTTTTTTACCAAAAAATCCTACTCTTATTACCAAATATGAAATAAAAGGGTAGTCAGTTTTTCAGAAAATGTAAATTTTTTTTTTGTATGGGTAGGCATATATTAAAATGACTAATCCGTTTTAAAATCTGTTTTGTTACTTTTTTTGTTACAAACACTTAAGCAATTATTACAATTTTGAATCTAAAGTAAACATAACAAAATGTAATCGGTGTAAATACAGCAAGTGTTTTTACCGCGTTGTCGGTAAATATTGATAGTAAAAAATCGGTCGAATGACGAATTTTTTACCAGATTTACAATCTAGAACATATTCCCGGATTTAATCCCTTATTTGAGAGATGAGCAACTTTATTTTTTTTTAAATCAGGCGGGCTGTCTAAAACGTAGGTTGCCATAATATATGTCACAGCATACTAAATCAATATTAAGGTACATAACAAAACAATTTTTAGTCAAAATGTACTGAACACTAACACCTATTCAAACCAATTATATATTTATTTTTGGTTTCAATGCGTAAATAAGTATTGGGCTTAACCTAGGAATCACGAGGGACAAAAATCCAATTTTACAATATGATATAAAAGAATTGAACGAAACATGATAAAACATTTTTAAAAGTCTATTGATGTAATTGGTCTACTCTTACAAGTCGCACAAATAACAATAAAACGATTTGTTACTCTATATTATTAAATATAGAGTTGGTTTGAATTGATGATCGTATTCAATTCAATTTAACTAAATTACATTAAATTAAATATAAGTTTTAGATTGTAAGTCGTAAAATTATTTTCCAACAATATATTTTTTATGGCGAATTTTTCATCATGTATTTGTAAAAAATTGGCTGTGCAAACAATTTTGTTATTGTGGATATTGACCGACAACGCGGTAAAAACACATGCTGTATTCACACCGAATACATGTGTTATATGTGTTAAGTGTTTTTAACAAAAAAAAATGAATAAAGCCAAATTTTAAAACGGATTAGTTATATTGTTATATGCCTACTCGCACAAAAAAAAAATTTATATTGTCTGAAAAACTTGTCAATAAGGGCGTTAAAATAATCTGGAACATGTTGTCAAAACTAGCTTTTGTGCTTAATTTACCTCCTCCGGATGTCAATAAAATATATAATCTTACATCTTTGGGATTAACTACTGATGGCCATAAGACATTTTGGTCATGGTGCTCTGCCGAATTTCTGTAACTGAGGATTTTTACCTGATTTTGTGAATAAATATACAATTTACCATTGTTGCTATATGTGTACGAACTATCTAAAAGATTAAATTCTAATTTTTCTGCATTAACATTGTTTCAATGGCATCTATCTTAATCCACATTCCACATTTGTTCTTAATATGGTTTGCATTTGTTTATGTATTCAAAATAAACCATTTTTTTTGTGATCACCAATGTTACCAACATACAAAGTTGAGAGTATTATTGAGCTATTATTAAGTTGAGATATTATTATGATTGTATTACTTACAACCTACGTTGGAAAAAAAGAGTGAGGTTTTTCTTACTGTCTAACAAAAACTGAACAAGAAAATTATGCGTATTCTACCAAATTTTATACTTTATTATGTTATAAACTAATGTACATTAGTCAATATTACAATTTTTATAGACATTTTTGACATAATTAAAATGAAAAGCAAAAACAAAAACAGAACAGTAAAGAATTAAATGATATTGAAGGAGAATATGACAATTGTTTTTTTTTATCATTATTATAATTTTACACCCAACTTATGCGCCCTAATTAGCTTAAGTTATTATATTTTAATCACTCTCTTCTATATCATTCACTATCACTATCACTATTTAATGCCATATATGTTTCTATAGAAAAAAGTATTTCCACAGCTGTTTCACTCACTACTAGTGCTAAGTATTCTTTTGTATCTGGAAGACGTCTAAATTGTTTAATTATACTGAAGTTTATGTTAGATAAAGCTCCTTTGAAAGTTTTGACGAAACGTACTACGTCTTGTTGAAAATCTGTAAACTTTTGTTGTTTGTTATTAAAATTTTTGCGCAAATTAGAAATGTAATATGGCGATCCTAATGTGGGAAGATATATTCTTATATTGGCAATAGTTTGAATCTTGTCCTGAAAATCTTTAGTGTTATTTTCAACCATGGATTTTATTTTATCTATATCATCTTGTGGAATCAAATAGTTCTCTAACTCGACTATATTAGGTGCCATTTTATTCACACCCCAGTTATACTCGTATTCGTCATGCATTAAGAACTTCAACATCAGACGAATCATGATTACTTTTACCATCTTAGCAAACTCGTCATGAAATTGTTTCAATGAGTAAATCTGTTGACTCAATGTATTACCGTTGGCTTGCGTTCCCAATCATAATCTTTTTTTAAATGCAGCAACACTTGGTCCCAATTTAGCTCTACTCCGGAAATTTCTAAAATTTGTTTAGTCGCTTCCATATCCGCCAGCAGTCCGTTCAAGCTCAACTTTTTCAAACTAAACTGTTCGTGCCCGTCGGTGCTGATACCGTGTTCGTTGGCGTTTATGTCTATTCGTTGCATGAAAACTGATGTCCTAGCTTCGAGAGTGGTCAATAAATGTTGCAAATAATCAGTACTACTTTCAAGACATCCATATCTACCTTTTTGCCCTTCTTATAACCGGCGCAGACGGCAGAGTTCATGTATTTATCGAGAAAAATAGTTACGGATTGGTGAACGGAAAAGATGTTTTCTTGATCTTCGGCCGGGACCTTCTTTATGACAGATTCCATGTACGCCAATACTCTCTCGGCATACATTGAAAATATCCACATTACGTTCTGTAAACCAGTATTCTGCATCCCAACGACATTATGGAAGGTCGCATTGATTTTAGCAGCTTGTTTGGTATACGATAGATCTTTACCTTGAGGAACTGTCTCCAACTTATCTTTATTTTCTATCAATTCGTCGATCACCTCCATGTAAATTTGAGCACTATGCATGTAGCTACATTGAACACGAATTAATGGATCCAAATTGTCTTCTTCTTCCTTATATTTTTCAACAATGCTTATGGTGGTAGACGCCATTTTTAAACTGTAGCTAACTATAACGGTTGCTATAAAAATAAACTTAAACGACATTTTCATGATTATAGAATTTTGTATTTTCCTCAGAAACCACTTTGCGAAAGAACAGAAGTCTTAAACCGGTGTAACAATAAAGTATACTAAACGAGAAACGTTTTACACGATTGCCATTAGTTCAGCCTTAACAAAATAAATGCCTATAACGCTTATAAAAATTGTTAGCAAACATGTATTCCGTATGCGTATTTGATTTGCCGCATACATCTGTGATTACATTAACAACCAATTGTTTGTTAAAATAATCTTGTTTTCACAGTATGAGTTTCAAAGTACTGATTATGAGTTAGAACCTTCGATTAAAATCTAACAACCAAAGAGAATAATGTACTAAAAAAGGTTGACTGGTCGATAACTAGTTTTGGATAACTATTTTTGATGTTTTTGGAGTTTCAAGGTTATAGTCCAACGATATATTTTATGATGAATTCTCCATTGCGAAGAAAAAAAAATTAGGCTGAGCAAACCATTTTGTCATAGTAAATATTTACCACCAACTCGGCAAAAACATTTGCTGTGTTTGCACCGAGTGCGTGTGTAATGTTTTTTTCAGTTTCAAATTTTGTATGTTTTCATGTATGTTTTTTACAAAAAATTGATTATACAAAATTTTAAAACTAATGATATATTAGACACAAAAATATACCTATTTGTACAAAAAATGTAGGTGTAAAATGTTAATCATCGTTGAAAGGATATTATTCTGAAAAACTTGTGAAAAAAGGCGAAAAAATATACTGGATCATCATGTCAGAACTTTCTAATTTGCTTATCTTAACCTCTTCCAGATGTCAATAAAATGTATTATATTACATTTTTGAGATTAACTATTAATGACAATAAGACAATTTTGGCAACTTTTTAAATTTATTATTGCCGAATGACTGGAATTAAGAATACTCACCTGGTTATTGTGTCATGATACCATAGAGCTAATAATTTCTGATCACATAAAATCGTTTCCTTCCCTCATTTGCTAATTAAAAAAAAAAAATTGTGATAAAAAAATGTGGAAATAAATCCATGTAGTCAAAACTATACCAAAATAAGATCTGCGCGAATTTCCCAACCGCACATGCCCTCCCATCCTAACTTTTAAACTCTAATAACTTCAAAAGTTCAAAGGGTTATCTAAAACTGATTTTTGACTAGTCAACATTTTTAGTACATTGTTCTCAATTTATAATGTTAATGAAATGTATGCGTTACCATGTAAGTTCCAAAGTTGCAATCAGAAAATCACCCCTGGGTGAAACATAAAAATTTGAAAAATTGAGAACACATTGTATAAATCAATTATGTAAAAAAAAAATCAATTATTAATTAAACCCAGTGAGATATTGAGTGGTACACGATAAGTGGCAAGCCCTCTCTAAGTACTTCCCTTTTACTCTTTATTTCTCTTATTCGTTTCTCAACGCTTAATTTCATCAATCATTGTCGTTTTGTATAACTTTTATTTTTTACTTTAGATCTGTTGCCCTTTCCACCTGTTCCCACCACACATTATTGTTGGGTCTTATTTTTAGTACAGTTTTTACTACATGGTTTTTTCAACATTTTTTAAACACAGTTTTTTTTTAAGTAGCGAATTTAAGCAGGCCGTAGCCCTTCAACTTATTTTGTATGCGGTGGTTTTGTGAGGAGATTTCCCTATAAGGAGAAGGGGGCCCTTATAATATTATAATACACTAAAATGTTTAAACAAAACCATTAAGCTAAAAGGTACAAAAAAATGACAACTATGAACGCCTGTTTTCTTTAGAGTCAACAAGATTGTCATTTGGGTTTACATTACTAGATATATCCCTTTCTACATTGAGAATGACAAGCGAGGATAACCTATTGTTCTTGACTCATAGTTCATCTTATATAAGTATTAATTCACCGCATTGTTGAGCTGTCATAGCTGGTCAAAGTTTAAAATCGCTTCACTGTAAAATAACTGAAATCGACACTTAAATAGTTGTGCCCGACTTTAGCATAGAAAATGCATATATTTAAAATCTATTGACATTGGAATGGGCCGTTATTCCAATGTTCAATTTCCAAGTGAGAATCCTCATTTCCAGACATTTGGTATGGCACCATGACTAAATTGTCTTATGGCCATTAATAGTTAATCCCAGGGATGTAAGATAATACATTTTATTTACTTCCATAGAAGGATAAGTTAAGCAGAAAAGCTAGTTCTGACAACATGTTCCAGTTTATTTTAACGCCCTTTTTCATAAGTATTTCAGATGAAAGATTAACCATGATATTACAACTACAGTTTTTGTGTGGATGGGCATATATTTTGTGTTTAATATTTTATTCGTTTTTAAATTTTGTATGGTACTTTTTTTGTAAAAACACGCATGAAATTCTAAAATTATTGAATCTGAAGCAAACATTACACACATAACTACTCAGTGTAAGTACAGCAAGTGTTTTTACCGCGGTGTCGGTAAATATCTACAACAACAAAATGGTTTGCACAGCCAAGATGAAAAATAGAGCATAAAATATACCGTTAGAATATAATTTTACGACTTACAATCCAGAACTTAGATTTAACCTAATTTATTTTAGCTAAATTAAATTGAATACGAACACCAATTCCTATATTCCATCTATATTTACTTTTTGATTCCATCGTATCCAATAGTATTGGATTTAACCTAGGAGTATTAGGAAAATTATTAATTAAGCCCAGTGAGATATTGGGCGGTCAACGATAAGTTAATCACCCTGTATACAAGACCTCCCTTTTTCTTTTTATTTCTCTTATTCGGTTCACAACGCTCAATTTCATCAATCGTGGCCGTTATATACAACTTTTATTTTTTACTTTAAATCTGTTGCCCTTTTCCACCAAACTGTATTATTGGGTGGCATTTTTGGTATAATTTTGTACATTTTTTTAACACAGTTTTTCTTTTGGATTAGCGAATTTAAAGACCCGATATTTTGAAAATGTATAACATCTGAATACATACATACCGTATGTAACCATGTATACTATGTATGTATACCTTAAGTACGCGTGTTAAAATCTTTCCAGTTTAATCGCCATAAAATGTATGCATAATATATAAAACACCAAAACACCCTAAACTTATGTTGGCGTGAAAATAAAACCTCAAATACGAAGGCAAGTTTGCGCCTAAGATAATTTATATAAGTTATTTCAAAATTTTAGGTTAAGTCCGTCGACATTGCATTGAAAAGTAAACAAAAACAAATTTTATTTTATTATCAAAACATGGTTTTTTTCATGCCTTAAGCAGTGTAAAGTATACAGGGTGATCATTTAGCCCTGATATGTGTGCTACATTAGTAAATCACAAAAACAATAATATCGTTCTTGTACGATCATAATATTTTAAAACAACGTTGTAATAATATCAAATATGATATCATGCAACATATTTTTGGTTAGGTTCGTTCACAATATAAAATAGTCACAACGGTTCAAGTATGTAATAAACAAGACATCGAGTATCGCGGTCTTGCGTTTATTGTATAATACTTATTTGAATAAATGATTGTTGCACTAAAACAAGGTTAGACAGACTTTAACATTAGCTATACAATGATCATGTTGTGTTAGTATCATTAAAAGTTAACGGTTTAAATCGAACACACATATTATTATACAACAATAATAGTTATGAGCGTTACCATGTATAAGAGTTTTGATTCAATACACATTCATGTACAATGTAATGTTGCAATAAGAACCGAATTGGTATGGAAGTGATTTATTTTAAAACAAAAATATAGAGGAAAACCAAATGAAAAATTATACTTACAAGAAGAAGAAATGTATATGATAGTTTTCGTTAAATTAATTATATTGTATGACTTTTACAAAAATTGTTTTTAAATATTTAACAAGTGCGGGTGAAAAAAAATTTGTCGACAGATATTTTGTGGTCGGAAATTTGCTTTTGTAATTCCATCCCTTTTTGATTATCAAAACTATATATATATATTATATTTATATAAGATCATGTTAAAAATGTCCATCGTAACAAACCTTTTCTATTTTTTTTTTTTTTTAGTTGCCTGAAACGATAAGACAATAAGTCCACGGCCTATAACGTCATTTCCAAAAAAAAAAAAATAATAATAAAATATTCTCACAACTGTTAATATAATATAATATTATAATAATTATAAACGAAAATAAAAAAACGTTATTCGCTATAATATATATTATTATGGCAGAGTAAATGTTAAACATATATTTTGGTTTTAAAAATACCGAAACCCGCTTTTCTGCCAAAAGAACATTGCACAACAACATTAGGTATATATAAAATATACATACTATGGAATATAAGTAAATAATAATAATAATAATAATTATCACCATAAAAATATCACCTCGTTTTTTTTTTTTTTTTATGTTTTCGCGACTAACTTAAGTTCAACCTCGAGACAATCGATAACGACATCTATGCGGAAATTATTCATGATCAGACAACCGTATAAGACATCACAGTGTGTGTGTGTGTGTGTGATTTATTTCTTTATTTTTTTTTTAGCTATAGTGGTTTTGGACGACATCCAGCTAACCGTGTCAGCGGCCCGTTAACTTGCGCTTGTTCCAATTTCGAAAACTTAGAATAGTAGGTTTTTTTTTTTATTTATATTATGTGCTGTGTCTCGTGGTAGGGTTTTACTGTGGATTTTTGGCCAACGCTGCCACAGTGACCGACACGATTAGAATTTAGATTAGAAAAAAAGTATTATATAAAAGGATAGGATTAAATCGGCGAACGGATAAACTTGTTTTGTGAAAAAAAACAAAATCTGACGGTGTGAAAACATGAAAAATGATCGAGACAGTCACCGAGTCTTTAACCGGCAAAATAAGAATGTAAATAAACACCAAGTAATTCGACCTAGTTTCTGAGTTAGTGATATGTGTTTAAGTAATAAAATTAAAAAAAAGTAATTTATGACCTTAAAAGTAAAAAAAAAATATATAGAGGGTGTCTCAAAAAGAATGGTGGGGTTTCAAACGGCTGCACGTTGTGAAGTATTGGACCTACAACGCTCTGGTAGGGCTTGAATGAAAGAGGGAGTTGTCAAGTTTTGAATGACTGTCACTAGATGTTTCTGCCACTAGATGTTTCACAGAAGTAACTGAATTACACTTCGTGAACTCGATCACTTCTGTTGTGCAAACACCATCCAAACAAACTGAACAATAAAGGCTGGCGACACGAACGTGGACAGACATTTAATGACAGTAATTCGAAACTTGACAACTCTCTGTTTCATTCAAGCCCTACCAGAGCGCTGTAGGTCCAATACTTCACAACCTACAGCCGTTTGAAAGCCCACCATTCTTTTTGAAACACCCTGTATATTGTATTGTTGTTTTTTTTTAATGTTGAGTTATGCCGGCCGGACGCCTGTGCTCGAGCACTTTCCTGAGTTGCTTGCGCGTGTTGCTCGCTACGGTCATCGAACAGGAGGACGCCGCGGCGTGGTCGTCGGCGGCGCAAGGTTCCGCCGGAACAGTGTCGTCGGCGGACGCGGGTGTCGCCGGCACGGGAAACGTGGGCTCGAACACGTCCAGCTGGGGGCTGACCACCAGCGAAGCGACCGAACTGTCCGGGAAACCGGCGACCACGCAATCGTCGGCCATGCTCAGTATGAGTTTGTCCGCGTTGAAATCTTCGACCATCTGTTCCAGCTGTTCTTCGATGGGGTCGTCGCACGTTCGCACCCGGGGCGTGCACACGGCAAAGTCCGTGTCGGGTTGGGACACCAAAATGTTCCGGAACGGTATCAGGCCGGCGGTGTCCAGCGAGGACGAGTTGTTGTCCGTGGAAATCTCCATGGCGGTAGCAGTGACGGCGGCCGCGGGATGCACAGTCTGCCGGACGACGGGATCGGCGAACTGCAACTCCTGGATGCTCTCCGTGGCTATGGACATGGCCGGTGGCTGGCTGTCGTCTTCGTTGAGCGCCGTCTCGTAGCTGGCGTTGCTGATGACCGGCATCATGAGCAGGCTGGACATCACCTCGCCGTTGTCCATCACGCACAAGCTGATCGTCCCGTTGGCGTCCTGTCCCGTTTTCTGCACGTCAATGTGACAGTCCACCGACATCTTGGCCGACATGTCGTCGCCCGGTTCGGCCAAGATCATTTTCTGCACCGTGGCCGTCGATTCCGTCGAGCCTTCCATCAGGGCCCGGATGGCGCTTCCAGACAAGTAAGCCTCCACCTCGACCTCAGCCGCTTCGGGCTGCCTGAGCGCGAGAATGTTGGCTTTCGACAACGGTATGACCAGTTGACCTGAAAACGATTCAAGTACCTTGTTAGTTACATCATTGACCTGTTAACCCGTGGACGGCTAGTAGAGTGAGAAAATCAAAATTAACAACACATAAGAAAGATAGGGTTCGCTCTAGCAAAGATTATCACGGAACTTGATAATTTAAATTACTTAAGTCCTCTCTCTGCCCCGTCCATTACCCCGCTGTAGTAATATTGGGTCGGTCTATCATGGAAAAGCGCCGACGTTTCCCGTTTAGGTTGGGTTATGTTGACCACTGAACTCAATATGTGAAATGCGCATGATAAATATTAAAATGTTAGGTTAGGTGAAGATAACATGATGATAACACAGTCATATAATATTTGATAAATCGTGAAAGGAAATAACAGCTATTCGCAATATGGCGGCATTTTCATAACCAGACGACTATAGGCAGAGTTGACCACTTTTTATTCGAATAAAGAGTAACAAATAATTTATTTGAATAATTGTTTTTATTCGACAATATCTAAGATGATTTATTCGAATAATTGTTTTTATTCGACAATATCTAAGATGATTTATTTAAAAAAAAACCATACTTACTTTCGAATTTCAAAAACTCTTGTCCCACGCTGTCGGTCGTTTCGCTGTCCAATTGCTGGAGCATATCGTCAGCGTAATCCGACAGCGTCTCCGATTCGTCCCAGATCTCATGACGTCGCTGATGCGTCTTGAGGCTAGCCTTGCCAGGGAACGACTTGTTGCAGTCACGTCTGTCGCACGTGTAGAGTTTGTCGGCCGAATGCGTCCGTTTGTGAGTCTTCAGGTGGTGACTAGCCGTGAATGCTCGACCGCAGCCTTGTTCGACACATCTACAAGAACAACAATAAGATATTGTGTATCATAATCACATGCGACACTACTACAGACGGAGGAACAGAGTTTCTTGAAAATTAAACATTAAACCGTTTTATGTTTTCAACGGTACGAGAAAGCAGTACAGAAGTGAAGCACCGAATCGAGTTGGTCGACAAAGTGTATTATCACACGTGTATGATAATGTGCGTGTGCGTGTGCGTGTTAATAATTACTTGTACGGACGTTCTTGCGTGTGTGTCCTGAAGTGTTTCTTGAGGTCGCTAAAAGTGGTGAAACACTTTCCGCATCCTGTGTGCATGCAGTCGAACGTCTCGCCGGTGTGTAAACGTTGGTGAGCCCGTAGCCTGTACTACAAACAATTACCGTAGCCGGTTCATCATACATCTCGAGTTAGGTCCAACTGACATATCGTATTCGTGGTAACGCACGGTCGTCTTTACCTGTACACGGTGTTGAACGCCTTCTGGCACTCGTCTTTGGCGCAAACGAATGGCTTTTGCTTGGTGTGCACCCGTTCGTGAATCTTCAGACTGTACGACGTCAGGAACGGTTTACCGCAATCGGTTATATTGCATTTGAACCGATATTCTCCTGGGGGGGGAGGGAAATGTAATGGTTTTTAACAATGTTTCACTGGTAAAAAAAAAAAAAAAAAAAACGTGTGAAACTAAATTTTCTACCTTTGTGGGTTTTCATGTGCGTTCGCAAGTTTCCCACCGTACTGTACGTTCTCTTGCAGCCGATAAATTCGCAATTGTGCCTCTTGTTGGTGTCCGACTGGTCGGGCGGCGTGTCGTTGTTGCTAAACGAACTCTGAGACAACTCGTCCTGGAAAGCATCCTGCGACGCGCTATCGTTTTGTCGGGCGAAATCGCTTGGCTGGAAATTGTATTGGACAAAGCTGAAAGTACACATCCCAATTATTACTGCGGTTAATGAGGTGAAAATTCAGCGTTAGCGGATTTTCAAATGATTTTATGTAATAAATAAAAACCATTAATTAACCGAAAACAAACTAAATAACGTTTGGAACTATCCAGAATGTTATTCGGATAATCCACTATTCTATTACCTAAATTATCCAACCTGACTGAATATAAACGCTATACTTTTCAACGAGTCCGATACTACTATAAATACTACAGTATTTATAATAATAAATGCTCAAATCGCCAACACTGCATGGAAGATGGCGAGAAAAATCTACTGTTAAATATAAGACGGAATATATAAATGTAAAAAATAAACATAAATGTATTATGAAGTAAGCAAAAGGGCGAGCTACAGTGTGGCCAGGATAAAGAAATTACATTTCTTTGGTACATGTTTTCGACTTGTTTCACTACTGCAACCACGTGACACAAAACATTAACCCTATAGTCGATAAAGGTTTAACACTGTGCAGTGTTTAACAACCTGCGAAAAAAAACATCTATTATTTATTTAAAGTGGTCACACTGTGCAACATACAATGCGTTATAGTTCTGTATATAATATTTTTACTCTATGGTTTATGCAGAGAGTAAAAAATACAATATTTCCCCTCTCCGCTTCCGTAAACGGTTTTATCTAGGCTCTAGAGAATATGCTTACATTATAATCCCGTTTAAGACAACTACTCAAAAATAACTCGTTCTTTGTGAACACTTTGGCGGAGTCATCGTTCGCTTAACGTTGAATAATAAAAAATTATGATATAGCTGTGAAAACATTGTACGCCCTGGTAGTGCTTTGAGTCCAGTCCAAAAAGCATTTGTCGACCACCACCATAAACGCCTCTGAGGTGTAACAGAACACGAAATGTTGTCTGATCAAAAACAAAAGTGGGCGGAATATATTATAATATTATCATTGTAGCACTCAAGTTGGATTTGAATATTATATATCAATAACCTTGTCACGCGTTCGACTACACCGAGTCGTTAAAAATTAATAAAAAAAAATTCTATACTGCCAAGTGGAATATTAATAATGTATTGTAATCGTAGGCGCACCGACAAACAACAAGGAAGACTATCAGCTAAAAAGTCGAAACCAATGACAAGTGAACAAAGTAATATATTCAACAACACACAATTGTCCGAGAATTATAATAATTATTCACAGAATTCCTAGTCAATAATATGTAAATTCGTTGTTGCGTCTTTTGTACAAACAATGACAAGATTACAACGTGCGGACGGACAGACGTCTAAGATAATAATATCATATCCTAAATAGATAGCCCTAAAGAGGGTGAGAATAAATCTACACGCTTGCTATAGAATGCAAACAATTTTTCATCTATTTATCAACAAAAAAGAAAAACAAGGCAACGTGAAACAGTTTATCATGGCCGTGTAGTTGTTTATTTTGAATTATGTATACTAGTACTACTTACTTTGCACCGAAAACACTATTTACTTAGGCATCTTCTTAAATATAAATATATGTATATGTCCTGTTATAGATATAGGTACACAATTTATCATACTTATGCATGTATACGTCGTTTGGTGCCCACGCGCCATTCTTGGCGCGTTCGTCATCTTTGTAATAATTACATACTGACAATTAGATTGTAATATGGCCGAGCAGAGTGCCCACTGGATTTCGGTCAATAAGACAATGACATAAAATTGCCAGTGCGAATTAGATTGTACAAGTTAAAACTATTAATTACCTATTACACAATTGCCCGAGGAACCTCTAACCTTCTTACAGAGCAATCGGTTCAATTTCTATTTTCCATTTGCAATTAAATGTATTTGCGCATCATCTAGTGCAAATCAGTGCGGTTATAATGAGGTGGAGATTTTTTTTTTTAATTTTCTATTTGACCAGAACATTGTCATTTGCCAAGATCTAATATCGTTGCCAAGCGAACGGAATAAGCAAACAATAAATGACGGTTTTTTTTTCTTTTTTGTCAAAAATTGTTTCCCAGCACAATGATATACGGCGTAAATCAGAAGAATCTACAAGTTTACACGTCTCGACGATTTACGACCAATGTGTGGAATTGCAACAACGTCATGAGTGTACAGCGTTCTGTATCAGCTGTAAACATTGTATAAAGTAGTCGAACAGTTTGCTCGAAAGGCGTTGAACACATAATGTAATTAACAATGTATATTTCGCTCCACCAGAGAAATAATAAGTAATAAATTGCGATGCATTTTTGTGCTGTCAACAAAAAATAAACACAAATAATATAATTGAACCGCCTGTTTTCTACACCGTGCGATTCAAATTTACATAGGTACACGAAGGAATGGAAGACATGCGGTTATAATACATTAAGATTAAGAATAGCTTAAACCAAAGTTGTTGCTCAAGCTTTATGTTTGCAGTCGCCCACCTTAACTCATAAGTACCTACAATAAATAATTGGCACAATGTGTGTCTATCACATCATAAGTAAAAATATTAATACATTTTAAAGATCAGCAAACAATGCTTTAAAATCGTTTTTTTTTTTTGTGACCAATGAAAAGAGTTCGGGTGTAAGTATCTCTAAATTTAAATGTGACAACGTGTAGCGTACGGTTTGATGTATGTGTCCAAGACCGTAACACGAAACACAAAACGTGCTTTTGTGCTACTTACTGCCAAACAGTCAATGTGATAAAAGACATTCGGCCGGTTAGGCCTCCGAAACTTTTACCAATTCGAATCGCAATATGTTTTATAAGATACAGATATATTTTAAATGTTAAGGCATTCTAGTTTCTGGTCCATAACTTCAAAGCACTCCTGACTCCCAAAATGACTCTAATAATCTCGGACAAGTCTAGAAATAATTGAGTTCCAAACTGTTTGCCAAAACCCCTCACGTTGGCGAGCAGAAGAACTGTGCTGTCGTATTACGAACTGCGAGACAAAAGGGTTGAAGGGGCACTGCGACCAAAACTACCAATGGAGTACCTCATTTATTGGCAAAGACTAAAAGAGAGAAAAAATCAAAAACAAATTGAGCTTTTACACCAGCACTGTTGTTTAATGTACATTGTTGTTATACCACCTCGACAATGACATCCAGAATTGTTATCAATCCACAAATCGTAAGTCGTAACAGTCATTGGCGAGTTTTGCCAATGATGGAAGTCGTGTTGGCCGACACTTCATTAAGGATGTTCTGGCGACTAAAGCCCGAGGTGTTAAACACTGACAGAGAATGCTACTCGTGTGGTAAATAACGATCACAGCATTAGCGCGTTTCAGCTAGAATAACTTAAAAAGAGTTGGCTCAAGACCTAGGACTTTAGATGGGGTCAGGTCAGGGTGCCAGAACCGCATTGCACTCAGAGCCAAACCAAACGCTGGGTTGCTTTCGGACTGATGCAGACCAATTATTGTGGTATTTTTTTAGACAGCCGCCAATAAAGAACATTAAGATATGCACAAATAAAGTGCACTCGTATGCTTTGATAAATTGACACCGACTGATAACATGTGGAATCTACTCAGTGGACCAGAATGTTGATTTACAGAAACTCCGATTTTGTGTTTATGGTAATCATTTCTTCTTGAATACTGCGTTGCAAATTGCAAAACAACAACACGTCATCGACAATGTCTTGGACAGCGGCAAGACGCGCGTGGGACGATTTGCGAAAGTCGCCATTTTATTTCTCAGTCGTTTAAGGCTCGTTCTCACGAATCGAGTTGTAGTCAATCAACATAAGTTGAATGAAATTCCTACGGCCAGAACCATTGTTTCAATAAAGTTGATCGACTTTCTGGTGGATCAATATGGGTGTTCAAATATTATAGTGTGGAATTAAATAAACGAGCCTCGAGTGATCTGAAAGTGTGACGCATCACTTCAGACATTCCTAAACGATTTCTATATCCTTCTTTGTCATCCAATGCTAGTTCCTTTAGCCGAGTGTCTGGTGCTCTCAATCTATGTCTTCCTAATATCCGCCAAAAGGAAGCAAGACTTACTCTGCAGAGTTGTACCTACACGTCAGCACTACGATACAGGAGAACAAGTACACATTTTCAAGTTTGTTTCAAATAGTCGTTTTTTTGTAATTTGTAACTCGCATTATCAAATATGTCTAAAAAATTAAAAAGGCGTCGACAGAACCAAAAAAAAAAAAACTGTTCACCTGTAAGCGTTACAATAGCTGCTGTTGTCGACGCTGCCTGTCGTATCCGGTTTGCTATGATCCGGCAGACCGGCGGCGGCGACGGCGGCGGCGGATGCGACGTCGTAGACCAACGAGACGACTTCGGCCATGGTAACAAAGCATAATATTCGCGCGAGCGGCGCGCGCGCTCGCCCGCTTGTCGGGGTACGTCCGCGCGAGCGGATGCGGCCCGGGCACGTTGGTGGCCTGCGCGCCTTACGGCTGTCGGCGGGCCTGCTGCAAACCGGCGGCGTACATCGTCGCGAGAGACTACGGCGGCGGCGAAGCGCGTTCACGTACTGCGGAGCGGCCGCTAAGCTGGCGGACGCGTTCGTCTCGGAAACGTGACACCGCCACCGCCGCAGCCGCCGGACCCGCGACACACACGGTGGACACACGGGCGTGGGCGTCTCGGCGGTCGCGGAGAAGGCGAAAATAAATGACGCCGGACCGCGCGGTCGACCTTGGGACGCGGGCCGCCTGATCGTTGAACAGATGGCGGACGAGTCGGACCATCGTACTGCAGTACTCGCCACTCGGTCGCGGTACACCGGTACACCCTGTTCAACAGCCGAACTCAACGATTAGGACAAAAGAACACAAATCCGCCATTTTTTTTTTAAATACATGTTTTTGGCGACGTTGCCGTTATCAGCAGTTCATTTGCCGTTTTAAAAATAAACCCTTTTAACGTTTAAAGTACGCACCTGTCCGTGTATATATAGCTACAGTTTTTTTTAATGTCGCAATTATAATTCGGGTCTATTGATTTTTCATCTGCCAAAATTTCACCAGCTTCCATGTTTATCAATAACAATTATGTATATTTAAACTCAATACTTCATAAACACACCTCCGTTGTGTTCAGTTATATTTATTTTTGTTTTTAAACGCAAGACAACATTTTAACGGCCGATCAGCAATCGTACACCGCAGGTACTTCATTGGCTTAATAAAGCTGAACATTTTCATTACACTTTTGAAAAAATCCTAAAAATTACCCAACCCGTTTTTCGGCTTCGAAATACAGCACATTATTAATTTCCAGAAAAAGGCGACGGCGATTATAGTTTTTTAAGGGTTTACTTCTCAGCAGTTTAGTTTGGCCACAATTTTAGTGCGTACATTTAGTAAGATTTTCCTTTTTAAGGCAAAAAATGTTCTGTAGGCATTACTTCTTAAAAGAGTTAATCTAAAATATGTATACAGAAAATCAGACATTGTTAAATTGCTATTAATTTCAGGAATTTGCGTATCTACTTGGCAGTATTAAGTCTATATTTCAATAAAGAAATTTATATTTAAAACTCTTAACCATAAAATAATATACTATGTTTTATTTTTGAAATTTTTATCTCATGAAAAATATTTCCGAAACAGTGCTTGACTGACTTTTTTTACAAGTTCAATTCTGTAAAAAGATAACAATTTGTTGGCCTCTTTATTGGGTTATGTTGAAAACCGAATTTCATTTGAAAAATTCAGTTTTTTCGTAATAAAATAAATTAAATTTGAACATTTTTTACTATAAAAACGCATTTTTTTACAGCAAAAAATCCGTTTCCAACATAACCTATTTTATTTTGGTAATTTATCATACACTCATACCTATGTACCTATACACTATATTTACACCAAGCAAACATATTTGCACTTAAAAGTGTAACCGGCTAAACAAAACTGAACTATACATTTGCTAAAATGTTAGTTAGTACAAGAAAAAAATAAAATTTTATTATTTGCTCAAACATTTTTTTTCAACAGCGACAGGGTACTCAGTCTAAAACAATCATTCAATAACAATTTAAAAATAACATTATGGTAAATAAGTGTAGAAAAAATAAAGAAAAACTATTGTTAAGTATCGTTCAATCCTGTGTAGAGATATTTATAGATCTTTAGAATCATGAAAATATAACACTGTGAATAAATCTACACCATTCAGAATATTATCAATTAAGTTGGGAATATAATATTAAAATATTATTTATTGACTAGGTTGCAATAATTTATAATTTGTTACTGAAAAATTAAACTTGGTATCGCATAATTAAGATTTCTTTATTAAATCACCAGCTAAGTTTGTGTATTTCATATCGGCTAAACGCAATGTTATCTAGTGTCTGCTATCGAGGAAAAATGTTTAAAATATTACCGGTATTACATACAATATATGGTTAAATATGTTTTTACCTTAATAAATACAACCTCTATACTTGTAAAATGTCTGTTAATTTGACATTTTACAAAAATTTCAAATATAAAAATGTATTTAAATAGAAATTAATTTGATGTTCATATTATTATAGGTTGATTCGAAGTCAGTAAATATTAAATTAAAGCCCTAAGGACCAAAAAATTCTTTGTTGCTTACTATAATACCACATTCAGGTTATTCGTCGAAACACGTACAGCAGAATTACTTGAAATATTATCGAAATTAATTTTAGCAAATTTAGCTAGTTTTTTTTTTTACTTACATTTAAAGATATACTTTGTTTTCATCTTTTTTTTTTTTATAAACCATTTATATTTAACTAATGAATTAAAACAACATAACCACTAATTTTTCTAAAAAAATCAAATGAAAAATTAAATGACATTATAATTGTTATCAATATATTTTACAAATTTAAAAACCACTTAAGATTAAAATATTGTCAATACAGTATTCAAGGAATTAAAATTTTCTCTTTTTCTTCAACCCTTTTTTACCTTTGAATTTCTTTTTTCTTTTATTGCCGCTTTTCTCTTTGAAATTTCCACCAAGAGCCGAAGTATCTTCAAAGTGCGTAACTTCTTTTCCTAATTTTCCTAGAGTTATAGACGATAATTGTTTCGCTCTATGCTTATCCTTCTTAGTAACTGGCAACCTACAGAAAAAAAACAAAATTAAAAAATATTATTTAACACAATAAAAAGTATTCATGTAATCAAGTAATCCTAGAATATCAAACCTTGTAAAGTAATCTTCCTCGTATTTTTGTCTTTCGTAATCATACTTTGACTGTTTGTTTTTCAAGCCAACAGAATTGATTTGTACTTCTACGGGAGTGTCGGCATATTCTTCTCTCAATTCCTGAATTACAGAGCTCTGTAACGCTCTCTTTTTAGCTCTTTCTAACAGTTTTTGTTTTTTATCTGCGTGTGATTCATCACCATCGTAAGGGACCGCTGTTACTTTAGGTGCTACATAGACTCCATCCTTAGATTTTCTCGATGCCTTCACATCGTTACTTTCATCGTCAGATTCTAAATCTTCTTCTTCATCTTCGGCGTCTCCTAAACCATCGATAGAAGCACGGAACCTATTAGGGTCGTTGGGATCGACATTTCCGGACACGGCGGTCTTGACAAGTTTTTCTATTTGATACTTAATTTTGAACTCCAACGGCCTGATACGTTCCAACACAGTTCTACTTTCCACAAGTCGATCGATTGACAAATCGCCTTGAATGGATTTGAATTGGCATTTTTGCAATATAATGTTGGTTAGGTCTTCAAGATAACTCAACAGTGTGTGATACTTGACATCTAAAAGACTAATTCCCTCCGATAGTTTTTGCTCTTGATTGATCTTGATTATAGGCTCCTTTGCTTGTACTATACTTGTGTTAATTTCATTCAGAAGTCTTGTAGTCTGAGTAAGCACATCTACGTCGCCTTGCGGTTCTTCGTCCATACTGGAATATTAATAACCGCACATTTTAAGGTTTATTAAAATCAATTACATCCACACTGTTATGAAAATGTACCAACAGTCGATATTATGTAAACAGAAAACTCATCCACGTGCTTAGCACTTGCCAGAAATCTTAAAATTTAAATTTCGCATTGAAAAATGATAATGTTATCATCAATACTGTTATCACAACGGCTTATCAGTCAAACGAGTAATCGTTCTTAACTTCACTGTCTACATGTTTACTGTTAAGATTTAAAAAGTTATTAATTACTAATTAGTGTAAATACTAAATTGACTGACTTCTGAGAATTTTGTATATTAATATTATAGTCATAATGTGAAGCAGTTGGTCCAGTAGGTGAAAATTTGTCATTGGTCCAGTAAATCAAGGCATTTTTTTATTTAAAATAAATAACAAATAGTAATTTGATAATTAACTCGTTGTTAAATATAAAAAATACATTTGTTTTAGCGCATCAAGTAATTTTCCATTTAACATACATTTTTATACCGTTTAAAATAATAAATTATTTAAAACAATTTATTATTTAGGTATCCCAGAAAATATTTGATTTAATTATTACATTTGTATTATACTGTTTCAAATAAACTGTTATTTGAAATAAATGTTTATTCTATTATTTACTTTTAATTATTTAATTTTTTAACTTTTATTAAAATCTGTTAAAATTAAAAAAATTGTAAATAGTATTTAAATATTTGTTCAAATAAAAATAAGTTTATATGTATATATATAAATACATTTTTATTTTTAATAATTATTAAAATTTTTATTTCAGTAATAGTTTGGCCAAACCAAAAAATAAATTATATAGAAAATAAACATGTAAAGCTAAAACCATTGATTATAAACTCTAATAATGCCTTTTTTAAAATTACATATTAAGCCAAACAATGAACATATTTAAAATCAAATGACATTCTCTCCAAAAAGACTTTCTGTTTTATAATAAGCGTTTTTTCTCTAAAACCATCATAGAATAAGTAAACCGTAATCTGTGTAGCGGTTTTGATAAAAACAAATGATAAAAAAATAGTATTTAACACTCATGGACTGGAAAATTAACAATTCTTATTACCATACATATAAATTTACACAATGTTGTAGTTTTATCTAGAAAATTCTTCTACATCGATATTTATAACAAAATGGTTAATATTCTCTCAATGTCTAGGAAGTAGAATGCAGAAGACAAATAGTGTGAAATGTTCATTTTATGATATTTTTTAACGTTAAAACATTATAGTCATATTCAAAATTAAGATCATAGTTTATATTTTCTTTTAAGTATATATATATATATATAACATATATTTATTATAGCAAATAATAATCAAGATCTGGGCAGAATGATAAACCCAGACATTAAGAGTTGAAAAGATATTAATGACTTGATCACAAAGAACTTTGTTGCCATAAAAACTCTTCCTTGTACTGTTTACTTCCGACGCTGCAACTATCAGGACACGTGTACACAGCCAATACGCCAAAATTAAATGATTCTTCGTTGGTTATCTCTGGCAATTTTAAATAATATAAAACTTGCGGCATAATCTGTAATGTGAATTTAGTTTATAAATTCTACACAAGACCACACACTTTCTTTGTACTAACTTGAAATTCAAATTGTCTTTGCTTTCCACAATACGAACAAGGAGGAATGTCATTAGTTGCAGGAATACTTTTTGCACATACCCATAAAGGTTTTCCCAAACGGTCATACCTTTTGTTTAAAAAAAAAAAAACACATTTTTAAATACTTCGGTGCAAATGAATATTAAAGACAAATAAATATGTATACCTAATAATTTGTTCGGGCACAGATGCTATTGTCGTTTTAAATTTTTCAAAATATTCATCGTCTTGGTCACCTCCATAGGCCATTTCTAATAAAGCTTCATCTAAATTATCTACATCTAAAAATTAGTACAAAAATTAATATAGGTACACAAAGAATTTAACGCAAACATTATAATTAATTTAACAATCTTATTACCTTGAAGACTACCTTTGGGAATAACAACTTCACTATTTTCATCATCGTTACTTTCCTCGTCCTCGCTAGCCGAAGATCCATCAGGATATTCATCGTCGTCGGCCTCTTCGTTAATAATATACTCCGGTAAGACAACTAAGTTACTAAAATTGTTAAATCGTTCAATATTATATACAGTTTAAATATAATGTTTCCGCAACATTTGAATTAACCAAATAAAATGACCAATTTTTAGAGCTAACATAAACTGAATTTAAAATTGTTATTTTTTAATAGAAATTGTAGTTGTAATATTCACAAAGAGAATTTTTAAGAATTTTAAGAATACATATGGCATAACACCAACTATAAACTTAATTTCCTTTTTATACAATTTAATATTTTTTCACGGAAATTTTTATTACTTACTTGTCACTTGAACTTCTATCGTCGACATTTTTATGGTACAAACTACAATAAATATTTTCATAATCTTCTAAAGCCTTACATCCACAAACCTGTAAGAAAAAAAAACTTTACAGCTAAATACAACAAAAACAATATGTAGAAACGAAACGGCTTGGTCATTCATAACAAAATATACAATATGCTACAATAGTTTAGTTTAATATTTAGTAATCCGATAGTGTCATAATTAAACTAGCTTGTAAAGTACAAGCAGATGTATTCATGAAAAAGCCGACGGATTTTATTCGAGTTTCTTACCATCGACATAAATGATGGAACAATCGTAGGCGTAACAAAGATTTTAGAAGGTCAATTTGGGTAATAAAAAAAAAATACTTAATACGTCAAATCATACCTTACATAATTTGACTCCCCACATGTCGGGAGTTTTGTCAGGATCGCTGGGCTCGGCCGGAACATCCGAGTAGTATTCATTTTGGACACGAAGCTGTGATCTCAAGACTAAGAACGTCCGGTCGTTTCTGCAATCGTAGCAGAAGAACACAAACAAGGTACGATGAAAACACGATCCCCGGAATTCCGGTTCGTCGATCGGAGCGTACAGTTGACACAAAAACACCAATGGAACGTTGCACTTTGAACAAGTCATTTCTGTCGCATCTGGAATGTGTTTAAAATCCAACCAAGCCGGCATTCCACCCACTTTGGACGGAAAGAAACGGCTTGTGAGTTTGAACTGATCGGTGGTGCTATTCTTATCGATGGTACCCAACATGACCGACATGATTATGATTTTTCTTGCGTTTTTTAAACACAATTTTCAATAAAAAAAACAAATCCTATGTAGTTGTCGGGTTGGGTTTTACATTACTGTAACGACTAACATCTCGAATAGGAAAATTCAAAAATAAAAATGCACACAACACATTATCACGTGTTTGACAAATTCAACGTGTTATCACAGATTAGATATGTTATCTATGGTATTGTATCATAGACCTTATACACGGTTATAGATAAGAGTTATAGAATAAACGGGTGCCATCAAAAGTTATATTTCCAAGGTGGATTTATCCACCTTGAATATTTCCTATCTAACGTGTACTAAAGAGCTATTGATATTAAAACTGATTCTATCTCAAACATTTTTATCATTATTGCAATGACTGTGTGTATTAATTTGTTATTTTTCAGTAAAATGTGATGTCATATCCATGGCTTTTACAGATATATTTAAATTAATAACGACAGTTTAATCGTTTTTCCTACAATCTATTTCTAAAAATGCTAATAACTCCATAAATATTTGTTCAAAACTTGTCATCGACGAGTCTATTTTTTTAACCGGATATTCATGATATAATAAAACATATATATATACATTTTTTTTTGTCTTGAAAAATTTAACGATTAGAACAATTATTTTCTAACGTGTACAGTTAGGTTAGGTTAGGTTAGGTTAGGTTCAACCAGAGGCCCAAATTTAGGTTTCCAATTGATATTATGTTAGATTTTATTTTATACTTTGAATTATCGTTGTAATATGAAATGCGCTAGTATATTATAACAAACGATAAAGTGTGTAAAAACAACACACGATTGGTAAAATTTTGTTTTGCGTCTTATTTATCTTATTTATTTATATAAACCGGACTGGCCCAATTCCAAAGACTTAAACAATTTCCTAAATTAAAATACACAATAATAGACTAACGTTAATAAAAATTACATTAACATGAAAACATTTGAAATAATACACAATAATTATTGTAGAAAAATATAAATATATATATATAAGAAAGATGGTCAGTCCGCAGGACAAAAGCTGCATATTTCAAGAACTTGCGCTGCACACGCTCAACTTTGTATATTGATCACCAATCGTATTAGGACTCCATACTGCCACACCATATTCCAAGTGAGAACGCACAAATGAGCAATAAAGAGCCTGCCTTAAGGGAGGCAGAATGTTTAAAATCCGAAGAAATTCTTTTAGTAAACCCAAGCATTTTAAGAGCCTTACATGTAACTTTTTTTAATATGTGAATCAAAGCACAGGCGACGATCGAACGTGGTACCCAAATCTACCACACTCTCACCAGAGGCGTGCAAACTTTTGCCATTGACAGAATATATAAAATCAACAGACCTACGACATCGAGTAAATGTCATGAAATGGCATTTTGAAGTATTGAGTTCCAATCCGATACCACTGGCCCTAACGACCATAGAAACAAGATCTTCTTGGAGAAGAATACAGTCTCGAATAGAGTAAATTTGGAGAAACAATTTAATGTTATCGAAAAACAACAAAAAACGACAATGCCGAAATACTTTATTTATATCATTGACATATAATGCAAATCCCAAAGGTGAAAATTTTAATCTTTATCCCTTATACGACAAAAAGGGCGCAAGTTCACTTTTTTAAATGACAACATATGTTTTTAATTCCATAAATTTGTAGGAAAAATCAATCTTGGTTTTTATTTTTTTATCAATTGTTACTTTACTTTTATCAAATGTATTTAATACAAATAATGGACCATCTATATGTGTAAAAATAATTGATTTTATTAGTTATTGTAAGTGGCTATACTGTGATAAATAGGTATTCGATTAACCCATAAGTGATAACATATATATATATATATATATATATATATATATATATAGGTAAAGTGTGAATGTGTGATTTTTTTAAGCATACTCACCCCACCATGCGTAGAATTTGATTTTTTCTTGTACAATTTAAAGCACTAAAAACATTACATTTTTATGATGTATATATTTTTTGTCTGGGTGATTTTTTAGTTTTCTTAAAAGACAACCACTACTTACAACTTAATATTAAAAGAAAAAATATTCTCTTTCAAAATGTTAAATTTGTATAAAACACGAGTTATTCTTAAAAAATGTTGTATTATTTGTAGTTTACATTTTTTTATGAAATAAATTACAAATTTGAACATTATTCAGGGATAAAAGTGGGATGAGTATGTTACACAATCACTGTTTCTATATTACATATACTATATGCATTATACATAAAATTATGTATGGAACGCTTAAAACTATATGGAGACATTAGTCCCCCCTGTATTTTTTTCCCACTTTAAGCCCTGAATACAAATTTCTGCTTCTTAGGTCCAACTTGAAATATTTTCATAATCATACACTTATAATATACTTAAAATATTCTTACTTTGTTTTACATTTAACAATAAGTAGAAAGCAATATAAAAAATCAGAGACAATATGTAATTTCAGAAAGCCATTTATTTTTTGTTTCAAAAATACATATATTTAAAACAAATGTAAGATATTTTTATAAAGTGCTACACACATTCACACAATAAAATACAAGTAACATCAAATCGTGTCTTCTGACATTACAGGTGGGTTACAAGAAAACATTATTTTTTTTAGCAGTTGATTTTGACGATAATTCGAGGTTTTATGGAAATAATGTAGGTGCAAAGCTTTGAAAATAAAACAAAAATTAGTGCATGTTAAATTTGAATATGTAAATATAATAGTGTTTAATAAAATAATAAGTATACCTACACTGATATTTATTAAAATTATAGATATTGTATTAATCTGAATTTCCTGACCTCTCTCTGACAATAGTGTTTCAAAGTGGGTTGTATTTAAACCCAAATTTTGGAAACACGGTTTCTATAAAATAGTTTATTTTTATACCGAGTTGACTCTCTATCTCCTGCGAATTTTGGGGAATCTCATTACTTATTTCCGCATGTGACTGAACCACGCAAGACATATCAGTGAATGTGTTTAGTGCTTTTTCAACACCTGACAAATTACTTGGGAATGTTTCCATTCTATCGGGTGACTTTGTATTACCACTACTGCTCGCTGCTAGATTATCATAATTCCTCGACTGATAGTAATTAATATTTTCAATGGAGTTCATGAGGAAGTGTATGATTTTCAAAATGCAATTGTCAAAAACAGTCTGAGGTGGTAATCGTTGAAAATACAAAAGGGTGCCTCTCGTCGAAAATTGTTCGTCCCAGATTTCCAAAGGTTCGGAATCGCGCCATCCCGGTTGCTCCAGAATTCGGTTCAACTGTGACACGTTGTCTGCTGCCATTGCACCCCAATATATAGTATTATTGTTACACAATACGAGCAATGTAAAACAAGTAAAAAAACGTCGAGCTAGCATTTTTATGCTGAAGTTATAGATATCACGGACACTTCACTGCGGACATATTTTAATCCGGACAGTTTACTATGATAAAATTATAACGTCTGTTAAGTGGACAGTATGCCTGTGTAATACATAATATAATATACTTTGAATGCGTTATGATTTGTGCTATTTTGCGCGTCAACGGCCAAAAAGAACTCGTTCGCAAAAAAAACAACTGGTCTATACCTACATCAAGTTTCAAGGTTTCCGAATGCGAAAACTTTGACATACTTTCACTGTTTTTTTTTTTTGTCATCCGAATACACATCGATCATTTTTACATTGCATTCTTTAGGCCTGACTTTATTTTTTTTTTTTGTTCGAAAGAAGTTTTGAAATCGACGTTTTCTTTAGCGACGTTATCGAACTAGGTCATAATATCCTTCACCTTTGTTTTTTGCAAAAGCTAGAAAAGAATACCTACTACTACTAGTCAATCTACATAGTCAAACAGCTAGAGTAAATTTTAGTGTAGCACAAATAAGATGTCCTTAGATGAAAAGACACATATAATTAGACAACAATCAAGATCCTGCTCTTTCCGTTTTTTCCCATGCGGTCTATTTTTTCGACGTTTTAGAACAAAAAGCAAGACAAAATTGTGACTACTTAGGATGGTCCGATTTCAATTCTGTAAAGATAAACAAGTTCTTTGGCAACTCTTCTAGGTTATACGGGAAACAGATTTAGTTTTATGCTGTACTCGCATATCTTTACAGAATTGTAATTGGCCCATACATTCGACATTTCGTCACGCATTTTGGTTTAAAATAAACCAATAAGGATTTCACTCATCGAACAATTACTTAAAATTTAATATTGCATCTTGAAGCTTACAAAAATATTGACCGGTATGTTAAAAAACATACAAACATCTATACATATACTAAATACATGCAAACCCTAAAGGCGCTTATGCACTAGCATTTATTAAGGCGCATTGTATAGGCAATTTTTCGCTAAAACTTAACATTAAGCTAAAATGTGTAAACATACAATATCTTCATCCATACATATCTTACAAGGAAAGAAGTATCTATTTTGATAAATGATTTTGTTTGTCAACTTTTATAACGCATATAGGATCTATTTTTGTACAAAAACATAATATATTTCTATTTCAAACGTAATGTTCCAAAGAGTACTCCGGTTTAAGTTTCGAAAAAACATTTGAATTCTTCATGACATTTCCTATGGCTATGGTTTTTAGTATTATTTTTCTTTACGAGATCCTGCTCTATCTTATTTCTATTAAAAGACGGACGGTTCCATTTTTAACATGTATAAATAATTATCAACTGTTCAATAACTTTTATGGACGTGAAATATTATACAAACGTGTTAGCACTGCAAAATCTCTTCGAAGATTATGTTGCATGTCCCCTCACAAACAGTTTCACCCCATTAGTTTGAAACCCAAACCCTTTTTTTTTTTTTGTTTCCAGACAATACTTTAGGGATACATAAGATAACTGGGGGAATATGGACGTCGTTTCGCTGCGGTTAATAATAATTTTACTATGCAGATTTTTAAATACACCCACCTTGTTTGTGGCGAGTATCATTTGGAGTGCATTACAAACCATAGTATTCAGAACATGACTGTGATTTTTATTTATCATTATTGTAAGTATATAAAAACAATTGTATTCATAACAATACTAACACCAGCACATAATTCATTTTAATGTTCTTTGTGTATCCTTATTTTTGTTATCATAGTTAAGTACCCATTTATGTTGTTTGTGACTCATGGTTAAATAAAAAAAAGGACGTTTGTTTTAGCGCATCAAGTAATTTTCCATTTAAAATACATTTTTATACTGTTAAAAATAAATAATTTATTATTTATAATTCCCAAAAAATATTCAATTTAATTATTACATTTTTATCATATACTGTTTCAAATAAACTGTTATTTGAAATAAATGTTTATTTTATGGTATTATTTACTTTTAGTTAGATAATTTTTTACTTTTTATTTAAACCTGTTAAAATGTTTAAAATTGTATATAGTATTTAGATATTTGTTCAAGTACAAATAAGTTTATATAAATATATTTTTATTTTTAATAATTATTTTAATTTTTATTTCAGTTATGACTTATTTAAAAAATGCCAAGGTTTAGCCTAAAAAATAAATTGTACATAAAATTAACATGTTTAGGTAAACCCATTAAGAGGACGCCACACCAAAAGTGGAACGCGTGCAACGACCGATAGAACGCGCTGTTAGGTGTTTTAGCGAGGCGCAGGCACGCGTTTTTAGCCCCGCCTATCACGTTACTGTTGACGTAACCAGTCTGACAATTTCTCGTACGGGACCGTGTTTTATTATAGAATGAACGTCGTTGGTAGACGATTCGTATACTTTGAAATTGCATACGCTGTATACAGCCGACATATTTATAGTATCTGCGCGCACCCACGAATTAGTTATTGATTAAAAACTACTGTTTGCCTAATTATATACATATATTTATAAAATATAAACTCTATGTTCTATCATAGCTTGAATTATGTTTTTATCATTTTTACTTTACAAACTGTAAATAAAACAATTCAAATAATTTTGTTACTGATATTTTTAATACCGACAAAATCATGAACTAAAACCCAATTACATATATTTCCACAAGAAAAGTAATATGATATTTTTAATATTTCAATTATTATTAAATTATATTGGTAATTATTATAAAAATTATTATAGAATTATAATTAAAATTTTTGTAATTATATTACAAGTAAGAATAAAATAATAAATTGTTAAAAAATTCACTGTAAAACACAAAACACAATAGGACAAATAGAATAGCGGCTTTTATGTGCAACAAAAATATAGTATTTTCTTAGTATAGGCATATTTCTTAATTCTTCAATATTTACAAAATAATACGTTCAGTTAAAATTAGATTATCAGTATTCAGTTCTATTGTTATCCCACGAATTACGGTGGTAATTGGCTGCCGTCGGCACTTGGCATACGACTTTTAAAGCATAAGAACGACATGTGATAATTTCCAAAATTATGCACTATTATACGAATATATTATTATGTATAAATAATTTTAAAAAACCAATACAGTGGGGTAGGGGCATAGTGGGGATGGAGCATATTGCGGCGGAGAGGTCACAGGTCTATATGATTCATTAGAACTGAAATTGATAAAATTATTTTTTAATTAACGTTTTGATCTATAATGGTAGAAATACAAATATTTAAAAAAGCATTGTACCCTATTGGCATTAACTTGCTTAAAAAAGTATTTTTGTTGTTAGGGTTAATACGAATAGGGTTTATCGTCTGTCTATAAGAATTTAATGACATAGTTACCCGTATATCGGAGTTGGCAATAGAATGAAAATATTTTTAAATACCCGTTGACTGGTGATTAACTCACACATAAAGGAAGGGTTTATAATATTTTTTTATTTGTCGACGTTTAGCGGTAGTACTATATCTAAAGAATATTCCATATACATTTGGAACATAATAGAATATTTTTTAAAAAAGTTGTGGTGTGCCGTAATTTTTCTCATTTTTGACCAGGAGAGGGGAGGGCACACATGTATTTCAATGTCCCGGTTTTTTGGCGATGCATTTAAATAATTTTATTGTTTTTATTTTAACTGTTATTTATTTTTCACACAGTATCCTAATACTCCCTCTCCCCTAGAGTCACAGCGTCACCCTTTGGTCTGGGGTGGGGAGGAGGGCGCATATTGTATTACAATGTTTCGTTTTTTCGGCGAGGCATTTGAACATTTTTAAAAAAATTTTCACAGAGTGTGCAATCAACTCCTCCACCCTCCCTTTCCCCAAATATTTTTTTAAATCACAATTCTTATAAATCATAATTTAACACACTTTCTACCTTTTTCGAACAAGCAAAGCCTGGTTATTCAGTTAGTTTTCTAAAAAATAATGAACACAAAAAAGCAAATATTAAATGACGGTATCGCTGAGCAACTATTATTTGTCCGTGTTATTGAAAATCAATTGTTAAAAAATGGATTATTTGTTTATTCTTCAGGTAATAATTCTCCGATAACTCTCAACCCTGCCGTTTTTCGGCTGTCGGTCGACGGACGGACGGCGGCTGACCGTTACCCCCGCACTCCGCACGGTCCATTATAAATAATACTTGAACGTCCCGTTAGAAGCAGCACATGACGACGTACAAATTTACAAATCTAGCGTAAAAACTTGTCTACGCAGAACAGGTTTTACTGGGTCCACGATAGTTTTAGAGCAAAAACACCAAGTATAAAATCGAAAGATAATGACATTTTAGAGGGATAAGCATATCCTTTTTTTGATATAATTAGTACATAGTTCAATATTTAATGTTAAAAAAAGTGTAAATTTTACTTTTTTAAAACATTAATAACTTTTTTGTTTGGACATTTTTTAAAAAACGGATATGCTATTCTTTCAAAAATGTCATTATCTTTCTATTTTATACTTGGTGTTTTTGCTCTAAGACCATCGTGGGCCGAGTAAAACCCATTCTGCGTAGACAGGTTTTAGCGCTAAAAAATTGGGTGTGTGGCGTCCCTTAATTATAAACACTAGTATTTATAATGTCTTTTTTAATATTGCATATTAAACCAAACGGTGAATATATTGATATAGATGTTGTAGCTTCTGTTACTTTCACACTAACATTTTTTATATTAAAACTTATTGATTCGCACTCATAATATACAATATATAAACAATTTACAAATCAAATGATAAAATCATGACCAATCTATAAAAGCCTGGAGAGCGTCCTCGATAAAAACTGACAACAGACTAAATGAAACGGAAATAAGTTTATTACAGATACATGAAGAACATTGGAGTGGCAAAATTCATACACGAAAAAACAAACTTTTGTCATTGTACAAGAAACCGCATATACAATAATAATTGTTAGTAAAAACAATAAACTAATCAATCTTACATATTATTTATATAGCTAATCAATAATTATTATGTGATGGGAAAAAAAACCGTGCGTTTTTAACACATAAAACAACTCTGTTATACAAAAAAAACAATAGCCCCGTTTGTTTAAAGATTAAAAAAGAATTAATTTTGTATAAGAAGGCGAGATGGTATTATCGATTGTATAATAAGTTTCAAACAGTCTTCAAATATTTATTTTTATCTAAATGTTAACAATCGTTTAGGATTAGCTGAGCTTGTATATAGGAAAACAAGAGTTGGTGGTAAAATCAAAATCGAGTGAAACTTCCGGGCCTCTTTTGTGTCCGCTGGCCAGCAATTTCATGGTGACAAAATTCGTTTTACAAACTTTCAACAGATCGAGTACCTAAACGGATATAAAATTACGATTAAAAATTAATACAATCGACGAAATTATTTATTCAATTAAAACTCTACCTGTGGAGAATGTGGTTGAGCGAGAGTGTCTAACAGACATCTCGCCTGGTGAAATAGTTCACAGCCGCTCAGGTAAAGCATACCGGAGTTACCGGACACGGTGTCTTGCACTTGGCATCGGGTCATTTGAAATTCGGCGTACGAAAACGGCGGCGGCACGGCCACCGTCGAGAACGCCGCAAATCTGTGTTCGTATCGAACCCTCTCGTTGTCGAACTTTGCGTGTTTCGGCGGCTTTATTTTACCTTCCAATTGGAATCCGACCAATGTCTGCAAAACAAACGACATTTACAAACAAATAACTAGAATAAAAGATAAATTATGATCAATCACAAGTATGTCAATGCGCGATTACCTTAAAATAAGCACCGGTTAAACTTTGCATGGCGTGGCACATGATGATTTCTTGGCTGTAAGGGTGTAATTTTTTCTTTTTAGGTTTGTTTCGTTTCGCTCGATTTTTTTGACAATCCACCGAAGAGTCGTTACCGTAAAGTACGTTATCGGCTCTGTTCAATGTGGACACCAACCAGCCGTACAAGAATTGATACAAATACCTATTGAAATTAGAAAAAAAAAAAAAAAATCTAGATAATATTTTTTAATTAGCTGTTATTTTATTAAGCGTGTAATAAATAAATGTTTGTAATATATAATTTGACAACAGATTATCGAAACAAAATTACTAATGTTTACGATCCATACCAATAGATGTATTGATATTCGTGCGCACTGTACAATTCTAGTTCAAAACCGGATAGCAAAAACATTATCATAATACGTATTGTATGATAGATTATCCACGTGCTGAAACTTGCCAAGTGTTCTCTGGGCGGATCCAACTTGGACGTGAATGTGTGCAGAAAAGCGTCGACTCTTTGGGACTAGCGATTTATTCAAAATAAAAACAATATCAATAGTAATAAAACAAAAAATCTATTAATATTATTCAAACAAAGTGTCTCATTACTTCATCCTGTAACGCCGAGAAGTCTTCCATGAGATGTGCTAATTTGTCTCTTTGGCGAGCCCTGTTGTGACCGCATATCTGAATGAATCCGGCGAAAGGACGAGTGCAGTGTTCGAAAAAGCTATAAACACAGTCTTTTGCCTGGAAATATATAAATATATATATTAAATAACCAAATTGAGGTTTCCAACTGATATTACGATAATAGTTCCATACTTGAGAGTTGGATAGAATATTTAAACGTGTTATGAGCGACGGCGGCGCTATAAACGATTTTGCCCATTCTCTAAGACAGTCTTCCAAATCCTGGGTACCGAAAACTCTGTTGGGCTGCGGTAGGTAAAGCGTTTGCATAATCGATCTAGATACGATACATAAATTGCTGTTGTGACCGAGTTCCACGAAACATTCCTGAAAACAATAACAATTATATAAAATATTGTAATTATTAATATTATCTAACATTACGTATTGTATACGGTGTTGTTTTAAAGTTTTCAAACAGTAATCATGCTATGACGTTTTTCTGACAAATTTGCAAGAAAAATTGTAAGTATGGATGTGTGATAGTAAAACGTAGTTTGTGTACCAGAAAATACTTTAAGATAATAATGAAAAACCAACCAGAGCACTTATAAACGTCACACAATTTGTCATTTTACAAATTTGTTTCAGTCTTGTTAACAGTCCTTCGAAATAGTGATATGCGTCTGCGGGCGGCTTTATTTTTGTATAACGAGGAAATGTAGGCGGCAATAGCTTTTGATTTATAAGCGGATCGAAACCCAACTTAAAATACCAATCTGTGAAAATGTAGTCAACATATCGATTAAGGTAGTTAAAGTAAAAGAATAACTACAGAGAAAAATAAATAGTGTCTCTTGGTAGACCATTGAAATACATTTCATTGAACACAATCAACTTACCGCCTTCGTTTGGTACTCCTTTATCGACGGTCTTAATTAATGAGGGAATTAATAAACCGCAAGTCGTTAACAACCTTTGTGTTTCTCCCATTGAAGTTGTTTGGTTTTCACGCCGATTGAACGATAGTAGGATCTGGAGAAACAGCCTTACAAACTTAATACGAACGTTTAAAGCTACGTAGAGCTCGTTCTGGAAATAATACAAACATTGTTAATTGTTGCGATATAATTAAAATTATTCATTAATAATATATTCCAGTCTCACATCTTTAGTATCTTTTGATTTCATCACGTGATTTAACTCTTCGTCCACCTCCCTCATCATACCGATGACCCTTTGATCGGAGATTTCAGAAAAATAATGATAATTGTAAAGAGCGGGTTGAAAGTCTTCTTCTTCGAATACTTGTGCTCTACAAATGTACAAAATATATATATAAATACATAATACAGTAGTAATATAATAATATATTATTCGAGTAGTTAACCTGTTGGCAAAATCTCTTATAGCTTCGATGATTTTATAAATACAAATACAAAAAGCCTTTATTGAAGTGTCTTCGATATTGTAAGGTTTTTGAAAATATAAATTTGTAAAAACAGTTTGCGCAAGCGAATGTCCTTCGAGCCACGAAACCAGACAGGCCAGTGTAACATCTATTATCGATATTTGTTCGGGTATCGTTAGGCCGCCTAATTTCAGTTCTTCAATCTGAAAAATGGACATTTAAGTACACAAATTGTAATTAATTCGAAAACAAACAATAACAATGTAAATTATTTACTTTAATTGCTTTTGATTCACGATTACACATCATACCAGCGTCCATTTTAGGATCCATTATTTCAATGGCCGACATGGCCTCAAATAAACCAAAGAAATATCCGTGTAATAGTTCGCCTAATTCGAGTTCTTTAAAATAAAAGACAAATAAATTTTAACGAAAAAACATCATAGCGGCGATTCCCAAGTTGTAAAGTATCTTATCTGAACACTTCCGATAGGAAGTGGACACAGTAAGAATGGTAATGAAAATAAACGTAGGAAGAAAGAGGGGAAGAGGAAGACAAGCGAAAAAGAGGGGTTGGATGCGAGGATGATGTGGGCGATATGCCAAGTAGATGTTTAAGACAAGCCGGGTGGTCGATCCCAAATAGTTGAGATGAAGGCGAAGGAGAAGAAGAAATATATAAATAAAATTACAAATCTAATTGTTAATCGTCCTATAACCTAAAAAAATATATTATATAATTTATTATTTACCTTTAATTGATTCGAAAAATTCAGGCGTCACATCCACCCAATTATAATTAGGCTTTTGTTGAGTAGATACATTTTTATTCAAACCGGCTTTATAGTCAGATTCCATTCTGAAAACAAAAAAATTGCCATTACATTATAAACAATAGTTATTTTATTGATAATAATAATATTAAAATTGTTTTTAAAAAATGTATACGTTAGTTAGATTGTTAATCAAATTTCGCACTGGAAAATATTACACTTGAAATGAAAATACAACTACAATATTATTTGCCAAAATTAATATCTACTTTATAAAATATTATTTGTGTTGTCTTAAAATTTACTCTAACAATTATGGAAAGTAAATATCATGGTACCGAAAATGCAAGGAGTCTAAAAAAATGTAGTTTACATGCTACAATAGCATACCATCGCTATAATCAAGTTTGAGATCATAATTGTAGAAAGGCTATTTAAACATTTGAGAAGGATAAGCTTCCCAGTATAATGATTTGCAAAGTACTAAGCATAAGTATTTACAATTTACTAATATACTGTCATCATTAAAATTATCTCCGAGCTTGAAATTATTTACACTAGTATATCGTAGTGAGTCATAAATATATTATTAAACAAAAAAAAAGGCAGATCACTCTTACTTGTACTTTCTTTTGTAACAGAGTCGTCAAGTCATGTAAATGTCATAAGAAATGTTTAGAAACAAAAACGGGGCTTGTAATATGCAATATTTTAAAATGTATGTAAACGAAACTTAGACATCGATTTAACTCGTTTCGTTGAGGCTAAGGGTTATTTTTGGAACTGCTAATATCTAAGACGCTTCTCAAATAGCCTGAAAATTAACCGAGATAACGCGTTCTTAAGAAAATTGAAAAATTTTCAGTAAATAGTAAATAAAATTTATCATTGGGTTCTCTTATCACTCGACTTTATCATTTTAGCTGTGGTCAAAGCACGATGTACGGAAGATACCATCGTTGTGGTCAAAGTGATGCCATGGAGTCGCAAAAGATGGTTGATAACCGATATGGCTGGTTAAGGTCAAAAAAATATTAAAACTCGAGTCTTTCAAGTAGAAAAATACTATCCCTTCTGACGTTGTATACTTTTTACGGTATCCTATAATTATATTCGTATAATAATTAATTTTTCAAAATGCATTTTAATAACATTAATTTCTTGCAAATGCATTAGCCGTCTTATTATCGGCTACACTGCAATCGCCGGTGTGATAAAAAAATGTAACTGTTATCACAGAATAGTCTATTCTGTGCTGTTATCAACCACGTTTTCCAAAAATATATAAATTGCCAAGGTCCGTCTACACCGGTTTTACTCACCGAGGCAAGTGACGGTGGTCAGTTCTATTTTAAAAGCTTGTTTCAATTCTCGATTTTTACCATAGTTCGGTAATTTATGTTGAATCGAAATATCCCAAGTCAAAACTCGTATATATAAAAAAAAAGCCTATAATTGCAAACGAGGGTTTGACTTTGACAATTCTGGATTTTCTTTTTTTTTGTATGCTTCAGTGCGAACGCGGCTTTTTGATTAGCTTTTATTTTTCCATCTTGTGATAAGCCAAAAGTAGTTACCGAGTTGACGGAGAAATTTGTTTTAGACATTTAAAGCTGGAAAATGTTTGGAAAAATGATGTTGTAATAATACTTGTACTTAGTAGCACAACACACACACAAATATGTCCTATAGTAAAATAATGAACAAGGCTCAACTGCTCAAGTTAGTCCAACGACCTACTGTAAGTGTTATATTACAAAATAGAGTTTTTGATTTTTACTAAAAAGAAAATATATAAATAATGTTTGTGCGCAGTCAGTACGGATATGTAGTTTTCATAGACTATCCACTCCAAACCGTCTAGTCTTGTTAAAATGTCGTGCGTCCAGAATCCCAGAAATCAGAACCATATCTGCCACAAATTTTGCGTTCGTTCGACATAGTAGTGACGGTTCAAAAGAACTACCAAACGAGAATGCCGCATCCAGCAGTACAAATGATAAAATCGATTCAACTGAAGATATTATCCCCGAACCCCCAGAAGTGCCTATCGAAGAAATTGTAGAAGTTGGAAAAGTCTTGGTACTTACTTATTGCTATATTTTATTATGTTCATTATAAATACTATTGTTGTTGTTGTTTTTTTTTTTTTAGAATAAATTAGGAGAAGAGACTTTAACCAGTGCTGGACTTGGTTCTTGGACTCCGGTCGGTATACTCCAAAATGCATTACAGTTTATGCATGTTACATTGGACATGCCTTGGTGGCTAACAATAGTGGCAGGTAGCGATAGTTGTTAGCGGTAAATCAAGTAAAATGTTTAACGTAATATGTTGTTTTCAGGTACTGCTTTTTTACGTTTAATCATTTTTCCCTTAGTCATTACGTCTCAACGGCATACAATTAAAATGAATAATAATATGCCGAAAATTCAAGAATATCAACAAAATGTAACGGACGCCAGATTACAGGGAAATTCTTATGAGAGTAATAATCATATTGTTTTCAATTCATTTAAAAAAATGCCTAGATACATTTTAAACCTTAAATATTGATTTTTAGTGGCCAGAGCTTCTCAAGAACTTATGTTATTCATGAAATCCCATAACGTTAATCCAATAAAAGGAATGATTTTACCAGTAGTGCAGGTATCTATTGTATATTGTATGTAAACTGTTAAAAATGACATATTATTTTCTTATGTTTTTCAGTTTCCCATATTTTTAAGTATGTTTTTGGGTCTCAGAGGTATGGCAAATTTGCCTCTAGAAAGTTTAACGTACGGCGGACTCTGGTGGTTTGCCGATCTTACTTTACCAGACCAATTTTACGTACTACCTCTTATTACAGTTGCAACTTTAGGGCTCACAATCGAAGTAAACCTATCACATTATTATTCACGTTTATAGTTAATTGTTTAATAAATCGTGTTATCGATCGAATGTATATATTATTAGCTTGGAGCCGATTTCGGCAAACTGGGCAACGGCGGCGTCGGATTTTCAAAATACTTAAAATATGGACTGAGACTTGTGCCTTTAGTCGTGTTCCCTTTTATTATCAATTTCCCGTGTGTAAGTATAATTTTTTAAGAAAACACAAATCGTTAAATAGATTTGTGTCGAGATTAATAGAAATCGTTTTGCGTGTATATGATAACAATATGTTTCATTGTTGTTTTTAGGCAGTTTGCTTGTATTGGGCAAGTACTAATTTTATATCGCTAGGACAAGTTATGTTTTTGAGAATTCCCAGTGTCCGTGAATATTTCAATATTGAAAAAAAAATAGTGCAAGAAAAACCAAAAAAGAAAAAAGGGGTTATCGGCGAATTCAAACATTGTACGACGATAGTGTTGTTTATTTTTAAAAAGTCATAAAAAACTCAGATTTTTCTATTTTTAACAATGCCTTTTTATATGTTGTTAGCGTGGAAAAATATGCAAGTCGTAAAAGAAATCGAAGAAAGAGAACGTCTGGATCACATGAAATTCACACAAGCCGGTCGAGCCCCGCCAATCAAAACTTTTAAATACAACCCAGTAGCTGCAAACACGTTAAAAAACACAAAATAATGTGTATCACAGTAGTATAATTTTGTTTTGATAAAAATGTTTAAATGCTCTTAATTTAAAAAAAACAATGAATTATTATTATATACCCTAGTTTATTTTTAAGCCGTAGCAATACATTTGTTTAAGACTGTTGACAAATTACTGTTTTCTAACGCTGCGGCGACTCTTTCTTTATCATCCAATTGTTTATTGATGGCGTGTTCAGATGCATGTGTTCCCGGTGTGATTGTCACGGATATCTTGAAACGAGCCGGCAAACACCATAGGAGTCTTACTTTAATGGATAAACCAATCAACGTGGCCATACTACAATGTGGGATAGTAGGTGTGAATAAAACTTTAACCATATTCCCATGATCGTCGACCTTAAACAATTAATGGCTAGGTTAAATGTTAACGTGTAAAATACAAATTGGGTTAAACATTTGGCAAGTTCAGAATGTACCTTACTCGTGTTAAATGTCTACTAGTTTTACTATTAAAAGTATAAAAATGTTTTATTTCAAATTACCTCGATTAAACTTTGATCGACAACTCTTAATTCTTCGAGCGACAAGGGATGTTCTGGATCGGTAATACCTCTAATTAAATCTAAAAACAAAATCAATGTTTGGTATTACAGAATGGTGTACATATGTATTCATATAGAGCAGCATCAACGATAATAGTTTTATACAACAGTAGCTGTCGCTAAAGTACACGAGTTAAAAATGTTTAAATTTCTATAACTACAACAGTAGAAAACTGTAAATATTGTTAAATGTTTTACCGAAAATCTCTCTCGAGTCAAATTCTTCAACATCGTTATCGTCGTAATCTTTTTCAGTGATAATTCTTTCTTCTAGTTTTTGGAATAAAGTTGGATTTTCGTTGTCTAATCCCATTGCAAAAAAAACAAACGGTTATTTATATACTTCCTTACGAAATTATACGACCTTCGGATAATTATTCTCTACGCTAGGAAAAAAAATATTCGCTAAAGCAATAATTATTTCACTTCAATATTTAATGTCGGCCATGAAAAATCGTATATTTAATTATAAATTAAATGCTTATCATGAAAACAACAAATGATAACAGTTCGCATTTATCAATTTGTTCTTATCACGTTTGTTCATAAATAAGATAACAACCAGGCTGTCCCTTTGGGAGAAATAAAAAAATAACTGAGCTCAAAACACTATGGCAAAAATGCCGTTTTGTTCATATTAATTTTTTTTTTGGAATTTCAAATTATTAAAAATTTAAACCTTCAAACAAGAAGATGTTTTAAGTTTAACCATAACTTTAAAATCGAACATCTATTATTTTTATTACACCGTGATTTTTAGTACTCGTGAAAGATTTTCAACAAAAATAAAAACCTCATCAGATAAATCCTCGTTAATGTTTTATTTGACCTATTATATTGCTAAGTTAAAAATAACCAATTCCAAACGAGCATGTTAAACGTTTATAGGCAACTTTACACAATATTGTATTTAAAAAAAAAGGTTTCAAGTATAGCATAATGATTTATGCACAGTCATTCTAAATGAATATATAAGACATATACAACTCATTCATAATTGTGCTGTAATTATTTCTACTATTACCTTTAAAACTCATTATCTTTCATAATATTTACAAATTATTCTCAATGACTAATTTCTCAAGCAAAAAACTCAATAATCGTGATAACAGGAACCTTTTTTGTTTTTAGACAACGCAGTAAAAATTCAAATAGTTCTTACATGTCTTATTAAAATTATTAGAAATCATAACCGTATAAACCATATATTATTTTTTCAACTTCAGGCAAATTTTTTCATGAGAAATATTTATCTATTGTCAAAATTTCATTGCCAAATATGACGATGACAAATGACCCTTTACTAACTCAAGTAGGTTATTAAATTATGACAACATGTAAACTATCCATTTGTACGATACCATCATCCATAATATATTGTAATACCTATTGTAGGTAACAAAACCACAATAACAATATTATACTCTTAAAGTGTGTGAAAATCAATATGTCGGTAACGATTATAAATAATTAAGTGATGTATAATTTATACATAAATGCATACATGTTTTATACATAGGTTACCTTATTTGAAATCGATAAAGAGCTTTTAATAATTCAACCGTGAATTTCTAATGTAAATTTTAACATTGTTAACTGTAAGAAAATAGTATGTTCGTATACCTAATAATATGATGCACGCTTGTACTAAATAAGACATTCGTAAGATTAAATAAGTAATTCTATTTTGTATGAAAATACAGTTGAGAAAATGAAAAACATATAGGTAGGATCGGTTCTGACTGAGTAGTCAAGTGCTAATGTAATATACCTTATTTATTAAACCATAAAGATTAAAAAAAAAACTATAATAAGAATACTATATATATACGTCCTATTTATCAGTATCCAAAAAAAAAAAATCGGTTATGGTTCAATAAGTGTACTACATTGGAGCTTAACTACTCGGCCAGAATTAATCCAGTCATCCAGATAGCAAATAATAATTTAAAAAAATATATATTTATATATAATACCGATTACCGTTGCCTCATGTCTGTAACCTGTACAGTTTATACTTAAAATAATTATCATTCATAAACGCAACTCACCAAGTTCATAATTATATACTATATTGACCTCGCCATTGATGAGTAAACTGCAATGGTTTTTTAATTGGCAGGAAGTAAAATAAGATCCAATACGTTGGTTTAATGTTTAACATACTAAAAGTGGACATTGTACATTTTACAAACCGTACAATTTCGTAAAATAACCGATGATATATTTATCATAACTTTAGATAATATGATTAATAATTAATGTAGGTTGTTAAAGAAATAAAACCGTTTTTTTAATATATACCTAAATAAATTCTTGATCAGTCTACAATGATCCATCTAGTTTAATTAGACACATATATCGTGTAACTGTGATTTTTACTATTAGATTTACTTTTAAGATTTGATTCAGTGTACAGAACGAGTATGTTCAAACTGCTTACATTTAGATACTTTAAATTTACATACTTAAAAGTTAAAAGTAAGTACAATTACTTCGTTCCAAGTCACACTAAAAAGTTCTCGGCAATTAGGCACTCAAACTAATGCAATTCTGTTTTTTAGTTTTCTGAATCAATGTACCAAGACTTGCAGTATCAAGATAACCAAGTTGTGGAAAAGGTAAATTTATCAATTTAGAATATAAACTTTAAGCGCAATTCAAGTACTTTTTAATAATACATTAAACTGTTCGAACATTATGGCAATAAAAACGTCGTTAACAACAAGTACAACCGGATGAGATTACTCAAGTATTAAACATAGGTTTATATAAAGAGTATACATCAGAATGTTGCTTACATTATTAACTTATAACAGTCACCTGCGGTTATTCCCACAGAGGCCACACGTGGTTAATCGAATATGGTCCTAAACACTAGTGTTGATGGCATCCAGAAGATTCCCACGCTTATGTTTTGTCACACTTTTGGAATAATTTTAGGTACAATACGATAAATTCAACTATTATACAAAAGTAGGTATTCAGTATAATATAATAATACTAATGAGTAGGTAGCTCGTTATAGCGAGTACAAATGTCAGATGTGCAATGTAGACAATGGGATTTGGGTATATTATTGTGTGTTTAAATACCTCAGGAACAACGGATAAATCATATAATCTGTGTGCACGACGAAATTAAACAGGATTGTAGTCCCTGACAGTGTGGGAGAGAAGATCAAATGAACAGCTGACACAATTGTATGGAAAAAGAAGTATAGATCAGTTTACAAAAGGCATAAGACCGGAGTGGGCAGGTCACATCTGGAGAGCCGACGGTAGTATATTATAAACCCTAGGTAAAAGAGCGTTTAAAATATCAATAAGAAATAACACATTAAGCCGGTTTCACCAACTATTATTAAATACCTCTTAACATAATGTTAGTTGACAATTCATTTAAATTTAACATCTGGTTAAATTAAGTAAATTTCATCATAACATTATTATTATTAAATTCTATTTGTTAAGTTAACGAATATTATGTTACTTGGGTTACCAAAGCGGTTACCTAGATTCCAACGTTCTCATTGGTTATCATGAAATGTGATAACTGATAAGTGATAAGGATGAACCTGTTAAGGCTAACAAATCTCGACGGAACCCAATTTTCAGTTAGTAATTGTTAAATATAATTAAGGCAATAAGTTAAATCCTTAAAAAAAGGATGTTGGTGAAATCGGCTGCATGTTTTATTACGTTTTATTATTAAACTATTAATGTATTTTGATAATCTATTGTTATTTATAATAGCAAACTAACAAGTGTAGTGTATGAATTAAGTCGATAAATGTATATTTTTTTCCCAAAACTTTGCTTTAAAAAAAAAATTTGAGCAGTAAGCCAATTAGAATAAACGACGTTGGCGTTATCCGCTAACCGATACCGTGGATAATTGTACATTAAGCAAAAACTCCTTGTAATGACTATACGTGCCAGACGCATGCACCGTGACCGCTTGTTGACAATATATAACCGTGTATATTTATTTTTAATGTATATCAACCTCTACGATTGTAAATAATCCTATAATTCGATTGACTGATAATTATTTCAAGAGTGATATTATTTAAGATTAATGTCGACCGTTGTTTGTAGTTATTTTGCTTGGCTCTTTGTAATGTTTGCTGACTGAGCCTCCTTTCCCCACTGGTCTCCCTTTTATTATATAATGCACCTTAATTTATAAAAATTAATTGACCTAGATAAGCATATCATATACTGCAGGTATTCCTAACTATTATCATTAGGTGTTTGGCATTAATTCCGAGGGTTATCTAAACAGTATGCACACACACGAGATAACCTATTAATATTAAGTTATACTTATTACCTAAGTAGTTAATGACTTATAACAATTTCGATAGTTTATATAACGCTTAGTAATAATAAATAGTAATAGTAATACAATCTACAACGAACATAGATCGAAATAAAAAATATTTTCAACGCGTTTGTTTACTTTCAAATGCCAAGTTCTGTTTTAAAAGGGAAGAAATGAATAGTCAATAAAAGTTATAACATAGGTATTTGTTTTAATACATTCACCTTTTAGATAACATATTATCTTTTAACGTAAAGTATATAATTACCTTAATTATTTATTGGTATGATGTAAGCACCTATTTATACATGCAGGTACCTACTATTAAACTGTTAAATTTTTAAACTGTTATCAAATGACCTGCATGGTGAAAATGATTAGAAATTAGACCTTGGCTATTAGACCTTTAGTCGTGTTCGTTAATCGAAAAACGGCATAATACGGTAATATATTATTTGGCAATTAGTTTTGTATTTCTATAACGTTATTGCAATAATATTACATTTATTATCCTAATCACATTTTATAAATTATAAAAAAAAAACCGTTATTCCGGCCCTATAAAAGTCTTCTAATTAATGATTTTAAATACAATTTGTAGATTATAAATGTAAATAATATTTGATAGTTAAAAATATTATCAAAACAGTCACAACTGACCTTATTCAATTAACTAACTCAAATCTCAATTGAGAGTCACACCCTTTAGTTCTAACCTGTACCTATATGTATACATTTAAAAACGTCTCATGGCGTGGAAGATTCCTTCTAAAATGGCCTATCTGAATTTTTTAATAGCTTCAAATAAAAGTAAACATTAAAGAATCATTTTTACATTCCTATTGTTTAACGGATCATTGTGTGTCGTGTCACGTACATACATTAAACAGCCTATATTGTATTTTTTAAACAATACAATAATCAGCAGTATTGTATAATATTCTGCGGTGGTAATGCAGGCTATTGTGATAGTGTTGAGGTTTTTAAAATTCATTAATTTTTAACACTTTTACGAGTTGAAGAGGTGTATTTTATACGATAAACTGTATAGTTTTTTTTTGCTTTCAAAAATGTGACGCATGTTCTAGATACCAGCAATGACAATATTATCAACATGTGGCATACATCTATTTTACCAGACACCCTTTTTTTTTTCCTCAATCGATAACACTTTTGTTGATTACAAATCTGCAAACATTTTGCAATTAGTTTAGAAGTTATTTAGTTTTCACAGTCAAAATAAATAGTACTGTCGGTTTAAAAAATATTAAAGTAGTCCATTAAAGTGGATTAATTGTTCTTGACATGTTATTTTACACTTAATCGAAAAAACTGGTCAAATATACATATATATATATATATGTACATATATGTATATTCTGTACACATAACAAAGCATAGACTATATATTGTATTTTTGCACACAATGGCAGTATTTTTATGTTGAATATGAAAAAAATAAAATTACATTTTCCACACCAAAATAACTACAATAATAAGGTTTATTATTATTAATTGCATGCATTGTATGCATTTTTATTATGCTTATTATTATTCTTCATACACATTATACATTTGTAAGATCTCCCGTTCGTTTATAGAAAGTAAATCAATGACCGATTATCATATTTTATCAGCGATTTCATCAAATAATATAATATAATGATGTATTTTTTACATTCATTGATCATTGTCCATTGTACATCGTATGAAAGTTTATTATAAATGTGATTAATTAGTGTTACTAATACCGGCTACACGTGTATCACATATGTATGCGTGTACGGCATGTTTACCATTATTATTTTTTTACACATTTCTTTAGATACTGTCTAAATCTACGACTTATTTCAAAGACTAATTTGATCCGTTTCTGTTTCTGTTGTTTAAATTTCTATGAATTTTAGGAGCTAACAAAGCAAATATTATAACGGTCATTGCATGTATAAATCAAGCATACAAAATCGAAAAATACCTTCATTTTTTCAATATTAACATTTTGCAAATAATTATAAATATTTAAACGTAGTTGAAGAATACTAGAAGAATTATTTTCGAGCTTACTTTTAATAACCTGCCAATGTCTATACATGTCTGTTACATAAAAATCAATGATATCACTCTGTTGGAATGGGCCTAAACAAATAGTGTGTTTTTTTAATTTTTGTAAGTACGAGAAAGAAATATAATTCTTTTAATAACTGCCATTTGACTTTCGATTAGATTTAGACAAACTAACATTATCGATTATGCAATGCAATGCACGTTCGCATATGATATATATGTATGCTCAATAGGTACCAAACTACCTACTAATAAAAAACCAAATGTCAATATTTTAATCACGAATTCGTGTTGTTCTTTATTCATAACGCACCCCGGCGTGAAAATCATAATATTATTATTATTATGATATTCTATTATGGTTATTGCCGTTTGAAATGCCTGTACAGAGCTGAGAAAGTATCAGCTATTGTCTTTTGACATTATTGAATAGGTAGTAGATATGTCAGTAAGGTGTTGTTTAAAATATATTGACAATAAAAACATTTTTTTACTGTTTAGCTGCTGTACAATAATATTATTATTAAATTGAATTAATATAAACCGTATAAAGCTAACCGTATACTAACACTTGTAATGAATTCACATTGTTTTGGCTTTTAGACTGGTTCAAAATTCAAAAATTCAATAAGATAAATGGACGCCACTATTAATGTAGTGTTGTTTCTAATGACGCAAGTATTTAAACTTAATTATTTTTTAAAGTGTTTTGTTCTTATCATTTTGCGACACGTGTAATAATACTCACTGAAAATTGTAATAGAGAACATTTTTTGAAATTATGTAACCATCCATCGTCTAACGTTTATCTTTATTGGTAAGATAATGAGATGTTCTTTTTTTCAAAAAAAAATTAACCGTTTAATACTTTACAATCTTTGCATTTGAGTGTTGGCCGGTACAAGTGTTTCTTAGAACCGACTAGGCTCTTTATTTTTTTGAAACGGAGCGTGTAGTTCATGTAGTTTATCTATTCGAGAAATTAGAACGGATGTGATGTACATACATATTGGTAATTGATAATGCAATCATATTGTGAGATTCTATTTAATTTCAAACTCGAAAAATATGTGTCACGCCGACACGGCTTGGCTTGTACGACAAATGACAATGATAATTATAATTGTTATATTCGTTCTGCAATTAGCCCCCAAAGGCGATAATCGATATTGAATGTTCTTGTGACCTTCCTAAACGGAGGTCGACCGGAACACGGTCAATTAGTGGAATCTTAAAGATAAGAAAGGTCGCTAACATAATATTCTAAAATGAATTAAACGCGGTTTTTCGATTTGGTTTTAGAACAGAAGGTCGTCTTGGCGACAAAAATGTCACAAAATTATTGTAATTTTAAGAAAAATAACAATATTATTGTGGACACTTTTGCTTAGCAGCGCACAAATATTGATCTATGTTGGGTTTTATAATAGGTCAATATTCAATTTATTATGCCATATGGATAAGGTTGTTGAAAACTGTTCAACTCAAACCATTAGCAAAAATAATTTATAAATTATTGTTGTTATTATGTTATATACTTGGCCGATACCGAGAGGTTGAGAAAATACATACATATTTCCGATTAAAAAAAACATTTCGAGTGTATGTATAGGCGCCATAAAGCAACACGTGATTTATATAATGTGGTGTTTCTCCTTGAAGAGGTGGATATTGTGTGTTTATTCGAGTTAACCCGTTGAAACCACTTGTTATTATTGGACGTGCACAGAGGATATTATCTATTAATACACATAGATATTTTATTGAAGTACCAGAAATAACGCCATGAACCACAAAATAACATTCACTGGCCAAAAACTAACGGGAATCTGCGGCGTATACCTGTTTATATTGTTTTTTCCCCCATTGTTTGTGCTGCTTTGTTGTGTGTGTGTGTGTGTGATGTGACAGACGACAGTGTTTGCATGCCACACCTATGCGTGCAGAAAATACCAGCCCGGTCTATATTAATGAGTGTAATGTATACTTTTTCCATTAGTGTGCCCCGCAAGACGATTCGGCGAATCGATTATTTCATAATTCAATGCTATTATAGTACGTATTTACTTTTGGGTGAGGTTGCCACACAATATTATGGTATCGATTACAATTTTCTGCTGCTACCGAAAGACGGTGTAATTTATCAGTTTGGGGTCCTAAGTGAAGAATACATAAGGGAAACCTTTTTGGTTTTTTTTTTGATATTATTATTATTATGCAAATGACCGTTACAGAGTCGCCCCGGGGGCGGCACGTCGGCGCCGCCGGGCTTCCGCCCGGTGTGCCGCCGCTTATCTCGCGGCGCGATCGTCGCGTACGCCACCACCCCCGCGGCTGGTCACACTGTCGGTGAGTAATAAGGTATATGTCGGCGATCTTACAGTTTTAAAAGCGTACGCTCGTATCGCGACGCTCCCGCCCCCCCCCGGACCCGCAGCTGCCGGACACCACGCCGCGGCCGGCCGACCGCTCGCTGCGTGGTGTTCCACCACTACCGCCACGGCCGGCACACACCCCACTCTCTCGGCGCGCGTCATGGCGTTGGCAGTTTTTTTTCCTCTCGGTGTGCCCGCAGTCGTCGTCTCCGGTCGCCGCCGTCGTTTTCGAAATACGCGAACCGAAATCAATGCAGTCGGTTACAATTATATATAGTCATCTGGTTTGAAAGTCGGATTTATATCATATTAGGTATCTAATTGGGCAAATGTGTCTGCTGTATCTGTGGAACGTCGTCGTCGAACGTATCGCGTGTCGCGTCCGATAGTCGTCCGCCGCCGCCGCCGTTGCCCGTGCTATCGCTATCGGCCCCGCAGCCAGCAGCTATGATGCCATCATTGAGTGTCGCTACTCCGGCCGGATGACAAACGTCTGCGGGCCAGCCAGCACAACCAGCCTCCTCCACAAACCGGACCGCCGTCGGCTCCATCGATTTCGGTAAGTCATCAATCGCGGCGTCCCGTGCGTACGTTATCGCGCGCCGCACCTAGCCTAGTAAATACATTTTAATATTATTGTGATTTTATCGTTGTCGGTCATTGTCTGCACCGCGCACCGTCCGCGGTTTTATTAACGGTCGACCGTGGCCGTCAATTCTTGAATTTATTCTTGCTCTGGCATGCCACACATTCCGCCGCCGCCCTACGGTTATCAGAGATAATAGGTACACATCTTAATAGATCTTTTATCTGGCTTAACCTACATTTTTTCTTTAAGAAAAACTTAACAACAATTACTAAACATTACTGAAATTATTAAAATATTGATTTGTATCCGTTTAAATAAACGTTGTTTTTCAACATAAATGCTGGTGAAATACCCGTTTTAATATATTTTCAAATCGATGTCATTGTTGTACTTGTCCTTGACAGTGTAGAATATTTTAAGTACGAGCACGGTTTATAATATATGTCATTGCTATTGTAGACAATATTATTATTGCGTAATATTGTGTGCCTGGTTCGTTTCTCAAGTAAAATAAGTAAAAGTGTTGACAGTGTTTGTATTTTGTTTTTAGTAGAATTTTTTAAATATTTTTTTTAAAAATAACAAAATTGTGTTTTTTTTAATGAGATTTTAACAGTTTTTTTTTTTAAAATATTTTTAAATCATCGAATGAATTAGCCACTCAAAGTATTTTTTTATCAAAGTTCAGATATTCACTGTCGGATTACGATGAAACACTCAGGTAGCGTCGGTGTAATAAATTGAAATAATTGTAACACGCTCTAATAAACTGTAGTAATGATTGTTATCTGTAAAACGGGCTATCCTTTTTAGTTATTCGACGATTATTAATTGGTCGGTTTCCAATAAAATGCAATTATTATAATTTGTTCACAAGAATTATCTTTTGTTGCTTTTTTTTTTAATTAGTGTACAAAGACATAAAAATGCATGATTCCTCTTGAGATTGCACAACTAGTGTGTATTAATTCGATAGAAGAACAAACAAATTAAAAATATCTGCGTAAACGTTTTGATACGGGCGACATAATTAATTGTCTACTTTTGTAAAATATATTCTATAAAATGTTTTTTTTTTTTAAACAGTATTAATAATTATGAATAGGTATTCATTACACTGGCCAGTGTGAAAAGATATCATTATTCTAAAGGCTTTTTTGCTGTCTCTCATAAACATAGCATTCTATTCTTTAGCTTGGAACTATTGACCGAGTTGTATACCTATACTACGTTAACGGGGTTTTACGCACGAATCATCGTCTTTGTTTAAAACTTAATAGTTAATACTGAAACGTCCAGTATAATACCGTTAACAGCAGCTTACATTTAGCAACGTTATTAAATATGTACTTTTATGAAATTATATTTGCGGTATGTATAAATATTATCTAACCGAGTTAATTGAGTGCGTAGCGAAGAATACAAAATATAAACTGTCGGTGAAATTCTATAATATAAATAATTCAACACGAGTTGTTTAAATAATCGTTTCTATTGCTAGAATACAAATTATTATTATTTTCTCGTAATACCTTATTAGAATTCTATTAATATATTTCTGGTTTATTTAATTTACATAAACTTGTTGGACTGGTTTTTTTTCTTTCTTCAATTTTGAGGTCACAAGTCCGAACCGACCATGCAAAATTTTAGTTTACCAAATAATATATCTTTCGATTCAAAAACGGACAACCCGATAGGAAAATCATTAGTTGTGGTCAATCACACAAATTAACGTAGACGACTTCGACAAGCGGTGAAAGTAATTCAAAACCCGGACATGGTACAGTAGTCGTAGTACCCACTGCAAATAATAATTATCCATCGACGCTAACCGTGACGTATAAATCATGTTCGTAGACCATAACGAAAAAGGGGGAAAATAAAAATTAATAATGATGTAATCGGTAAAAAAAAAAAAAATGACATTGTGTTTCGAATTATTGTTTCGTCGGATGATTCCTATAACATATACTAAACCACATAGTTGTGCCTATATAAATATATATTTTTTTGTATTGTTTGCACATATGTATACGCACACATGCATAATGAGTATAGTATAAAATAATATATGTACATATTATATACATTAACAATAGATTGTTGTGTTTTGTACGTATAACGAACACTTCATAGAAACAGTATCCGTGTCGCGTGTATCGATGTCAAAAAAAAAAATAGGAAAAGAGATTCGCCGTTTTCCAAAAACTAATTGATTTTTTTCAATACAATCGCAGAAAATCTAATTGAAAAAAAATGAGATGGGCGATAATTGTTAAAACTTTTTTTTTATACATAATATATGTTTTTAAATAGGATTTTCTCGCCTTAAAAGCTAATTTAATAAAAATTATTTAAAATTAAAATTTTTTTCGTTGAATAAATTTATTTGTAATTAATTGTAAAATAACATTTTTTTTTCTAGGTTCATTAATATACCGTCGCTAAGTTCAATGACCTCCCTTTGACCTGATGTTGAAAACTGAATATTGTGAGTATGTGTATATTTTTTTTTTTGTTATGTTTTATACATTTAGTATAATTCATATTAATATACATATATTATAAATTTCGTTACCTAATTTTTTTCCTCGGTAATAATTTAATTCGTAAATAAGTCTGCCCGTATGAAAGAATTACGTCTTATAATCGTACATTTCTTCTTTTTCGTTTCTTATTTATCAAATTTATCCACCTATAATGGTATACCATTAATAGCTAATTATTATTTGTTAACGTCACGAGTAAATCATTTTTTGCACTTACAAAAAATCGCATAGAAATAAATTTCGATTGAAATTTTTTTTTGCAGAACAGAACCATCCAGAAGAGATGCCATGATAGGACGATTGTATTCATTTATTTTATCGGTCGGCATCTTAACGATAATTACATTTACCTTGTGGTCGGTATGGAGCAAAATCGTCGACACCCAAGAAGCCCATTCGGGTCACGTCGAGTACCGTATACTGACCGTAGAAAACGTAACGTCCAAGCCGTTCGAACAGCGATCTCTGTCCGATTCGGATCTTCACGCCCTGATCGATTTGCCGTCGTTCAATTTCGTCATCAACCAAAAAGTGTGCAACAACAACACACAATTGATCATGGCGTTGGTTCACACGGCGCCCGGTCATCGCGCCAAACGGCAGAGCATACGCGACACGTGGGCGAAAATGATACCGACGTTGTTTTTCATGGGCCTGCCCGAGTCGAACGTCACGCAAAGCGACATAATCGCGGAAAACCAAGTGTACAGTGATATAGTACAAGGCGACTTCGTAGATTGTTACCGTAATTTAACCTACAAACACGTGATGGTACTCAAGTGGACGTTGTACTACTGTCCGAGCGCCAGATATTTGCTCAAAACCGACGACGACACGTTCGTCAACGCTCCGTATTTGTTAGAAATACTGCACAAAATATCGCCCTTAGGTGCACGTAATTTACTTATGTGCCAACTACCCGAATCCACCATAGTCAAACGGTCGTATCGCTCCAAATGGAGAGTTTCCTACACGGAATACCCAAAACGATGGTATCCGACTTACTGCAAAGGTTGGGCGATCGTTTATTCGCCCGACGTTGTTTACAAGCTGTACACCCAGGCACAGGTGACGCCGTATTTCTGGATCGACGACGTTCACATAACGGGCACCATAGCGGTCCAGCAGAACATCACGCAAACGGATTTGGGCGAATTGGCCGTCAACGAGTCGGACGTGTTGTCCAAAACAAAACTACCGCCAAAGTTTGTATTCTGCCTGTTGACAAACGCAAACAAGTCGATGAGGAAACTCTGGCACAAAGTGTTGCGACCCGATGACGATGTGGTCGATCTGTCTTCGACGACACCTTGACATTCGGTACACATTGTATGTATACCTGATTAGAAGTCCGTTTGGCTCGCATACTGAATTGTGATAAGTAAAATGTTTAAAAAAAAAAAAAATTGTATTTATTTTATTAGGGAGTTATTAAAATAATAAAATTATTTTAGTATTTAAAAAGGCTGATAAGACTTAAAAGTTAGTTTAAAAAAAAAAATTGTGAATATATATATTTATATAAATTTATAAATAACAGTACCTATATTTATATTTTAGCTATTAAGGTACGCTAAGTTGAAAACTCGAGCGCCACACGTTATCGTTAATAATGTTGTTGTTTTAGATAGCTAATAAATTTTAGCTATTTCAGAAAAAAAGCCGTTTTCTTCGACAATTGTATATTAATATTTTATACATCACATAATTAAAAAAATAGACTTAATTCGTACATACATTTCAAACGCTAAAGGTGTTTGAAAACAACAATTTTTTACAAAATACAATAATAGCATTACCACCTATAAGTGATATATAGGTCGTAAAACCATTTAACAACATTTTATAATATGTATATTTAGAATGGCTAAAAATATATAGATTTTGCATTCCAATAACAGTTACTACTGAGTACCCGTTTAAAATTGTACGTACACTTGTTTCGTTTTATATAGTATTTTTACAATTTTCGGCCAAATTTAAATTATCCTGATTTTTTTATTTTGAAATTGTTCCGTTCCAAACTTAATTTCCGAATACGTAACCGATGATATTACCGACAATACCGTCACGACCAATTGGACTATGGTCGTTTGCGTTTTTAACTGTCGCGCTTTACAGGCGACAATTGTTCCTAATAAGTCTCGTAATGTCGATGTAAAATCTTTAAAATTAAAATTTACGGTTATTCGAAAGAAGATCTCATGTTGTGTACTTAGATTTTTGTATTTAGCACGTCGAGTTAATGAAATTAACACAATGAATTTTAGTCGTAATTTCCATTGTCCAATAGATAATAATGTATAATGAATAAAAAAAACCTTAAATCTAACACGATAATGAAAACGGTGTTAAAAATCAGTGGCAACAATAGGACATTCAAAATTATTACACTTATCGCCTAGTGATAAGTCAATTTTTTAAAAAACCGATGAGTATTAGTTATACGTCTTATCGCACATATATGTTTTTTTTTTTAATTATCATAATAATATTAAACATTGATGTTGTTATAGAAATCAAACGTGTTTAGTTTTATCTGTTATGTAAAATGTAAATTGTTATTTGCGCTTGTCGAAATTATACACACGTACGTGCAATAAACACGACTAGCCGTTGTCGATTGTAAAAATATCTAATACCAATCTAAGGATAGTAATGTTAAATTTTATTTTTTTATTATTATTATTATTATCAGAATACCAAAAAAAAAATATATATATATTATTTGTAAAGATTAATCTGTGTATTATAATTTTTAAAAATTTTTTTTTTTTTGTTTTAAACTGTGTAATTGGTGCCAAAATGTAGAAATTAGTATTGAAAATAATGCCAGTTATATAATTTTGTTGCTCAATTACTTACCATTTTGATGTCCAAATTTGTTAGATTATTATTATTATATATTTTTTTTCGTTTTCTATTTTTGTTTCATTGTGTTATATATTAGACTTGGGGACCAACCTTTTGCCTATTACACCTTAAACAAAATAAAAATTTAAAAAACCAAGTGATGTATTCAAAATATAGAAGAAAAAAACTATTACTATGTAAAAAAGGAGAGTTTTATTAGTATTAGTTTGTACGATGATAGTTATTTTCATATAAGCGATAAAAAAAATTATATATATTATTTAAAAAAAAAATAGGTGCTCTTTAAATTTTTTTTTTTTTGTGAAAATTGTTTTTTTTTTTTTTAATTAACCATTTTATTCTTGTTGTAAAATAATAAGAAATAATGCATTCCTTTTTTTGTGTTAAACGTACATACATATATACTTTTTTTGTTATCTTCGACCGTTGTGGAAAATGTGAGTAATCCTGTTGTAATGCGCTGGTTTTTTATAATTTCAATGTTTGTAATATTATTTATGAAAAAAAAAAAAATTGTTAATGTAATTATTATATTGTAATGTTTTTGTATAATTTTCGTTTCATAGACAAGTCGTTTAACTTGGAATAAAACAATTATTTAAAAACGAAAATTTGCGTTTTTAATTTCAACAACGACGGTATTTTGTACAAACTGTGTTTAGTTCATGATTTTGCAAAGTGTTGTGTTGGTAAAATGCAATTATCATGACAAGTCTAATTACACACAAGACATCGTCGTGGGTCTTAATTACTTAATTATTTCTTGTTACAATTTAACGTGTTCTGTTTAGGTTTGTTCGCCGTTCGAACAAACATTGCATTCTATATATCAATTGATGTTCATTTTTTATTTAATCATCTAATCACACTGCTATAATTATGATTAATAGGACGTATGTTTGTCGGAGTCGGTCTCTCAATTGGATATTGTAGTATCGTTACCTTTGTATATCGGTCGGAGTTTTAACGCGTTGCTTGAAAAATGTGTATCCAAGGTTGTTGAACCGACAATAAGGAGCGTTACATAAAAATTATTTAAAGATGGTAATTAAAAAAAATTTATATATGTATATGTATATTTAATATATGCTGTTAAGTAAAGCTGATTTCCATGTTCCTCTGACAACTAAAAGCCCTACTGTACCGCTAAACATTGTAAGTTCTAGTAGGAACTAGTCAAGTACTTCACTTGATAATGACTATTGAGTTATAGTCCATTTTACATTATCTTGTTACTTGTTATACATATTTAAGTAAAGTATCTATTGGATTATTGAACAAGCTTTGTTTAGAAGTTAATCTAGATAATAATTTTATTTTGGTTATTTTTGTTTATAACCGCGAATAGTTTGTTTTCTTTACCTAACTTCCATAATAAGAAACTTGGTGGAAATCCCATATAATATGTACTTAAACAAGTAAACAATATATAATTTTTCCATAGCGGTAATATACTGACTAAATTGGCTGCTGTGGAAATGATTTCTCTACAAACAAACCCATTTATAATATATATATATATATATATATATATATATATATAATTGTATTTATATTATTATACATTATACAATAGATGTTTACTGACATGATAATGTTTTTATCAGCCACTTGTGAAAGAGTCATGTCTAAAAAACATTAGCATGCTTCTAAATTTCTAATTTTAGGTCAAAAGTCTCGATGTTTACCTTCTAAACACATTGAACAGGGATCGGCCAAATACAGAATATACATATATTTTTTTTTTCAATTTTTACGGGTGCATCAGTTTTTAATATTATATATTTATTAACATTGGTTATATATCTTCTTTAAAAAAAAAAAAACCAAAAAATAATAGTTATAACATTTTTAAAAAAACGTTTCAGAATTTTTACAGTTCCTGTCTGCTATTGAAATATCAGTTTTAATAAGACCTATCTGTATTGGGAAAAACCCACTCGACAACATAAGTACAAGTTAAAAAATAAAAGCCGCCACGTATACCAGGCCTGGTATACCTAGGTTACCTAAGGTCCTAACCTAACCTAACCTAACTTTCCCAAAGGCGCTTACTATTGCCTAAACTAAATTTAATTTAAATTTATACACCTAACGTTGTAGTTTATAATATATAAACCATTATCATTTTTTTTCGCGTTGTGATCTACAAACAATATTAATCGCCGGACAAAATTCTTTATCGATCACAAAATCATCATTCATCCTAGAAAAAGTTGAAAAGGTATGACTTTACTGTTATTTGAAAATTTGTAATTCGTTTGGTATTTTAATAATACAAGTCTTGTTTTATCGTTTTAAGCGCAACTTTAATACATAAATAAACGCTAAAAATAGATTGACCATTCAACGTTTGTATTGCATGCAATTTTTTTTCACATACATTTTTATTTTCACTTTTAAATTTGTTTTGCCAAACTATTTTTATAGCACACAGTGGCTGCTTTCCAAACCAGTTGGCGCTCTCCTCCGTCTGCTTTGTGCTGGTAAATTTTATTTGCAAATTAAATCTAAGACTTTGTTTGTTTTTACAACGATATTGTGTGTTCTTTTTGTTATTATTTCACACAACGGTTGTTCGGTTGTCGTTTATTATTAAAATTTAAGACTTTATTAAGTAGAATCGATTGGACGTTGGTATCGATCAGCAGAAACAATATGATGTCATAATAATACCTCTTGGGTCAAAAGTTGAAAAGTCCACTTTAAATTATTCACCGATATTTTAATTTCTAGGTTATGGACAACAAACTTAAATTAATAGGTAGGTATCCTTAAGTATAAATAATTGATATGCCCCATATAAGCTATATGCTTTCAAGTTGATATATTTTAACTGGTGCCCGAAGACCACAAATCAAGTTTTGTTTAAAATTTGTTAAGAGATATTTCAAGCAATTAAAATTAGCTCTAACTAACAAGTATAGAATCAACTTTCTGTCTCTTACAGCCTATAAGGGCCTCCAGTTGAAATTTTTTTAAAAATTGCAGTGTTTTTACATTGAAATAATTAATAAAATAAAATAAATTGAATATAAGATATAACCAGAGTTGGGCATTATTTAGTTAATATATTTTTATTTAAATCTGTTTTTTTAAAAATAAAAGTTGATTATTATACCTAACCACAAATAACCATACAAATTATGATTGGATTACCTATTACACATGATAAAATATTTCAATAATATATAATTCTTAAAAAAAAAAACAACAACTACAAGTGTAATTTAATGGAAAATGTCAAAACTGTGATAATAAACCAAAATGCTGAGATCCGGTCGTGCCTCGTTATGTTGTCTTTTTGTGTTATACTTAAAACTTAAATTTATAATTCACTTTAACTAGCGTTTTTTCCCGATTAATTTGAATAATTTTCCATTTTTAAAACAATAAAAAATACCAATTATCTTTACTCGGAATGGACTGCACGTGAAAAAATAAAATATGTTTATTTAAATTAATACTGTGCGTGTTGTGGACACCGTAATGGTTCATTTAAGATTTAAATCATCAAATATATAAAAATATATTTAGAAGCGTTATTGTAATATATATGAATAGTAAACCGTTTTTAGATAAGATGTCAAATCGACGGTTTTAATTGTTTTAATGCGTTAAAAAAAAAAACAAAGTAATTTAGTCATCTGTAAAATATTTCATTAGTTAATTACATTTAACCCCCCCCCCAAAAAAAAAAGTATTACTATGTATTATACTGTTTTTTTAGAGTTAACCGTGACAAGTATCAGTAATATGTTTTATTAGAAGTTTATACTTAAAATGTATATTTATAAAAATAAAAAATAAAATAAACTAGGTATACATTTTAGCACTTTGCCAGTATTACACACCTTGTGATTGACTAAATCTAAATTCAATAATTATATATGTCTGCGTTTAATGTGAAACTTTTGTGTAGAATAAAATATAAATTTGATGTTAGAAAACATTCTTTTGCACTTTAGCGAAGATTGGGTAATGACGGCCAGTGGGTAATACAGGTCAGTGGCATAGCTCTTAAAATATGATAGCTAAAATTTAGATGAGCACATAATTTGATAACTGTTGTTACCAGAACCTAATACCAGATGTTTCAAAATAATAAACAACTTTTTCCCCACCAAAAATAACTATCAATTTTTTTTATCACTTTTGTTGTAATATTTTTCCAAAATAAAACTCATCTTTAAATTAACAGTCTTCTTCTTCTTCTTTGGTAAACTCGGCCACTAGGACCATCCCGACATACATCCTTGCCTCCAGTTTTCTCTGTCCGATGCTTGTATTTAAACTTAATTTAAAAAATCTGAAACTTATATACTTAACGCCTAACAAGTTTATAGTTAAACGGAATTTCTGGACTTTCAGCTCCAAAGACATTTCAATTCCCGCTTAAGTGGCCGCAATTCCCTCACCTTGCCCTATTATTACGAAATACTATCCCGGTGGATAGGGTTTTTTTTTTATTTTTATTACTATTAAAAACAATAATTGAGCTTTTTAATGTGTTTTTTTTTCAAAATAATTATACACCCGTCGATGTTGTAATACGCTGGAATAATGTAATTATAGACTTCCATTATGATACCGAGAACCGTTGACAGTATATGTATAGGTATAGCGAGGAAGGTGGAAAAGTGGAAAAACACCACACACAAAGCCTCCTTTCCGGGTGGATCAATATTACGGGGCGTCAGGGGGCTGCTACAAGTGTAACCCACCGGGGCCGAACCATTCGCATTAAAGTTGTACGACCGACGACACACGGTCCGCGTGCCGGTAGTTGAGGTTTTTGAATAAAATATTAACGTTTTTTTTTTTTTTTTTAAGAAAAAGAAACTAGGACAAAAGTCTCTCTGGGTCGCCGCAACAGGGACCCCCATATTAAAAAAGGGCCAATCCAAAAGTCGTTTATCACGCGTCCCACCACACAAACAGTGGTGTCCGTCAGAGAGAAGTTTGAAGCCTTTTCGGAGAGACAGACCTGTGCTTGTTTCGTACTTACCAGGAGGAACGCTAGTAAACGCGCCAAGGACCTGTTGGAAAATGCAAAATGCCGATTCCACCGAAGTCATCGACCTGGCCAACCACGTTGACTCGACCAGGAGAACCACCGTCGACCAAAGACACCGGATCATCGGAGGTAAGAAAATGCACGAGAAATAAAGCATAGGCGATACTTGGCAATACCTCAAATAGCTTGCAATAAAATATATTCTAGTAATACTAAAAATACTCACAGCTGATTTATCAAATGTACACAAATCATATAGAAAAGAACTTTAGGGGTTTTAATTTCACAGAAAACAACGGTTGTTGTCACTACTACTCGACAGGGATAATATTTTTCGAACCGACCCCGTCGACAATATCTGTTTACTATTATTCTCCCCTATTGCGTGTATCGAGTATTGTTTATGTTTGTGGATGTCATAACAAAAGTACAAAACAAAAGGTTTTAATCGATATTGAAAAATTACCACAGTAACACTCGGCGCCATAATGGTTAGATTAACATAATACATTAAAAATAAATACATTGATTTATTCGAAAGACAACTATAAAATCTGGTTGACCTGGCAATCGGTTTTTAAGACTGTTTGAAAAAAAAGTAAAAAAATCCTTTTTTTCAACATTATATTTTAAGTCTAAGAATGTCAAACCAAGTAAATTTCTTCTACTTACAATTAACACTTATTTACATGTGTTGGGCAAATTGTAATCTGATTAATGATTAATGATTACAATGCATTGTAATCAGTAATCATAGTGTTAGATAATTTGTAATCATAATCAGAAAAGCAATCATGTAGGTATGATTACTGTAATCATGATTAAATTAATCATTTATTTGTAATCATGATTACATTAATCATTAATTTGTAATCATGATTACTGTAATCATTCAATTGTAATCGTGAAATGATTAATGATTATATGTTTTTAACCGTCTTAGGCTCAGTGATGCAACTAGGGGATGGGGGGGGGGCTTAGCCCTTTGATTAAAATTTAGCCCCCCCCCCAAAAAAAAAAATATTCCTTGTTGATTTGAATATGAGTTTTATTGTTTTATTGTTTTGTCGTTTAAAAATTGAAAAGTAAAGACTATAATGAACGTTATTAAAACTCAAAAAGGGTTTTCAAGTAAAACTATTAATTATACAAATTAAAAAATGACAGGTAATGATTTTAGATTTTTTATATTCCAAAAAATTAACCGTTTGTTGTTGGCTAACGAAATATTTAGAAAAAAAAAAGAGTTAAAAAAATAAATTATTTAGATTTCTTTTAGATAAGGTCAAATCATTGTGGAACACTATATATATGTTTATATATAATACATTTTAGAGAAAGCCTAGGGCGGGTAAACAATTTTTTAAATTAATTTCAAGACTACAATTGAATGATAAATGTAATCATATGTTCGATGATTAAAAATTACAATTGTAATCATGATTACTGATTTTTCGAATAAAAAACGCCCAACTCTGCGTTCGTGTGGTATGCCATTCCTTCCAAAATGTAATAATTTTCAATTTTTTAACAAGTGTTTTTGCCTTAAAAAAAAACACCGAATAGACATGAGTTAAAACTTAATGTGTGTAGTTATGTATTAGGGGTAAATTTTAAATAAAACAAGAAAACTGCTAATTGGCTAATATGGTCTGACAAAAAAAAAATTGTTATCATTGTAAACTTGAGATTTTTCGATAAAGAATGCCACTCCTTGAGATAAATAGGTGGCGCGACGGCTTTTTAATAACGCGTTTTATCAGATATAATAATTAAAAACGTTAAATTCTAATTAGTTAATGGCGTTTATCGCTTATACCTAGGAGCGAGCAAAAGTAAGTACTAGACACCTGCTAAGCTTATGTTAATTAATTTTTATATTAATTATACAAAAACACGGAGAATGCAATATAGCACCCGACTTGCCGTGATAGATAACCAAAAAAAGATGTATCCGTTATTCTTAGCTGTTAACAGTTGCTTACTATACTATTTCTGTTTTTTGTGTAATGGAAAATTGTAAATTATATTAGCGTGGTGTTCCAAGCTTTAGCCTTGGCCTCCAGCTCGAAAACGACACGAAATATGGTCACGAAAGTAGCGCGAATCCAGCGGGTTTTTTTTTTGTATAATATGCATATAAGTATAAAATTTCTCGAGGCAAGTCTTTAGATCTGGACAATCGTTAGATAATATTATAATAATAATTATATTCAGTGCATAAAATATCTAAATTATTTTATTGTTGTATAAGCTTATTACTTACTTATTCACAGCCATATTTTATACTTCAGTATATCCGTATAAACACTAATAGATAAATTGATATACATTCATATTGTTTTAAGTTAACCATGAAAGGTACAAATCCGTAAATTGATATTTTTTTGTTTAAAATGGGTAACCAAATATTCATCCGAATAAATGAAAATAATTTCACAACGAGCACAGTATTGAATGAATGGATGAATTTATCCAAAATAACTGACCAAGTGAATGTTGCCAATTAACCGGTTAGGGCCAAATATTAATAAAAAAACCATTTGTGCAAACGACAAAAGTGTGACGGTGGTTTAAGTGCTTGGAACAAAATTAGAAGCAAACGGGGTCGAAAGTGGAAACATATAAAACGACGTCGGTTTATTTCTTTAAAAAAAAAAAAAACAATAAACTGAAAATACTAAAAAAAAAATTATATTAATAAACTCAAATAGGGAATGCTGAGATCCGGTCGTGCCCCGTTAGTGTTGTCTTGTTGTGTTGTACTTATAAAGCTTAATTTTACAATTTACTTTAACTAGCGTTTTTTCCCAATTAATTTGAATAATTTTCCATTTTTAAATCAATAAAAAATACCAATTATCTTTACTCGAAATGGACTGCTCGTGAAATAATAAAATATGTTTATTTAAATTAACACTGTGCGTGTCCACAGGCCACCGTAATGGTTTATTTAGGATTGAAATCATCAAATATATATATTTAGTGGCCTTTATTATAATATATATATGAACGGCAAACCGTTTTTAGATAAATGTCATTTGTCAAGTCGACGGTTTTAATTATTTTAATGCGTTTAGAAAAAAAACAAAGTAATTTAGTCATCTGTAAAATATATTTCATTAGTTAATTGCATTCAACCCCCCCGAAAAAAGTATTACTATGTATTATACTGTTTTTTTAGAGTTTATCGTGACAAGTATAAGTAATATGTTTTATTAGAAGTTTATACCTAAAATACAAAATTATATATTAAAAAATAAAACAAACTAGGTATACATTTTAGCACTTTGCCAGTATTATACACCTTGTGATTGACTATATCTAAATTCAATAATTATATATGTCTGCATTTTATGTATGAAAACTGTTGTGTAGAATATAATATATTTGATGTATGAAAAACATTATTTTGCACTTTAGCTAATATAATACATCGCTTTATTTTAATTGATTTTAATTTTGACACGTTGGACGAAATCCAACTAGCTTTAATATGTTAAAACATAAAAAGGCTTTTGAAAATAAACTCCTACTGTAAACATTTAAAAATGAAAACGTACGAGGGTTTTAAATAAATTATTTAAATCGTTTTGGCCAAATAATTGTGTCCAATATATACTTTCGATCAATGCCTATATTCACAAATAATAAATTAATTCAACAATGCCCACTCGAACAGCTTGAAAGTGTCCAAGTCGTGTAAACCTTGAAATGTATTCTGGCACTTTTTAAATCAAATCACGAGTAGTTTAAAAAAAAAATAATACAATCAATATTAACACTATAAAACTATCCTGGATCACACACAATAGATGGACTTCAAATAGTTGTAGTGCAGCCCAGTTTTCTGTTTATAAAAATATACTAGGAATGAAAATAAATAAATAATACCTACTAATAAAGGTTGAGACTACAATTCGAATTTTGAGAAGCTTCAAAGTATTAATTAAACATTTTATAAAAAAAATAAAGACTTCAAACACACCTTCTGGCTTCGAAATTTGAGCCATTTTTAAAACAACAATCCCTTTTTTTTTATTATATCAAACTCGTTCAGTTTTCATCTGGTAATTTTAATGGTACTTGTCAGCAGCGAGGACAATAGAACTTTTATGTGATATATCAGATTTCCTGGCAACAGTACACCTACTGATTATCTTTTGCACTCTGACATTGAAGTACGGTTGACTAATGACTTTATATACAGGTACATCATGAACGAGGCACTCGGAGATAAATATAAATTTTGCACGTTACAGCAAAATCGACTGAAAAACAAAAAACAAGAGTTCGGTGTAGGCGATTTTCGAAAAATCTCAAGTATAAACTTAAACGGCTATTGTGTACCTACATTTATTACTGTAGTGGTAATTAGGATTTTTTGTTATAAGTATTACTTTTTTTAATACCAACACGCTCATAAACAACGTTTATAATGTTTTTTTTACCGAAACACAACTAAGCAGATAAATTGATTTGTATTTAGTTTCGAGTGCACGAGGTTGGATAATAGAGTAATAATATAAACAGATCAACTATTATATTATGTATACTAGCTTGTATGCGATAGTGAAGTTAATAGTATGACTAAAACCAGTATGGCCACACAAAAGAAAAAAAATTCACATGTATGATCAAAAAAAATGTGTACTCCTTATCTTAAAATGTTATGGTTTTTTTCAAAAATACTATTGCCATTGATGCGATTGATCACCACGATATATTGAACGGTATTTTTTTTGTCCTCTAACTAGGCAGACTGACTTTAGTCTTATTCTTTGCGTCACATTAAAACTACTATATGGCCACCCTCTGGGCTGGATACGAGAAATTTCGTGTCGCCATTTTCGCGTTACACTTTCAGATAGAGATAAGAGATAACTTATCTACGGTTAAATGTTTTTAAGTTATTTTTTTAGTCTGTCCCTTTTTCCTCTTCTCCTAATATTCCCTTCCCATTACGTTCACTTTCACTAGAGATTTGCGATTGGACAGAGATGAAATCGTCGAGTCTGGATGAACATTTCTTATCACTGATCACGCTCCCTTATCAGCAGACGTCATCAGCTGTGGCGACATGAAAATTTACATGCAATTTTTTTAAGGGACTGACAATTTATAATTTAACTAAGTTTAACTAAATATTATGATATGTTGCAGCCGAAGACAGCACGCCGGCCGATCCGGGCATTTGCGGAAAATTCCTAACCGGATGCGCATGGGCGCTGGTCGTCGTCACGTTTCCGTTTTCGTTGTTCGTTTGCTTTAAAGTCGGTGATCGTTTTTGAAAAAAACATTACACATACACTAGTACAATGCCGTTTTATACATTCATTTGTGTCGTTTTTTTCAGGTCGTTCAGGAATACGAGAGAGCCGTTATATTCCGACTGGGACGTTTAGTGTCCGGCGGTGCTAAGGGACCCGGTAAGCGTGTGTAGACGGAGACCGTTTAAATATACACATAATATAAAATATAAATGCAATGGACATGTTTTTTTTTCCAGGGATGTTTTTCATATTGCCTTGCATTGACAACTACGCTCGAGTCGATCTCAGAACGCGCACTTACGATGTGCCACCGCAAGAGGTAGGTATTTTTTTTAGAAAAAAGAAAATGTCAAAACGCCTTCTAAGTATAGTATATTTTCTATTGACACAATCCACGTCTCTCGCACCAGTCGGTTAGGTTAGAAATGTAACGTTTTTTTTTTTTGTTGTATAGAAACGTAAAACCGTATATTTTATACATTATACCAAATATACTAAGGGGCTAGGTCTACTATCTTATCTCTTATCACTCATACCTTATCAGCTATTTCTTATCGCTAATCAACTGTCTAAGGCTAAGGATTCCTTGATTTGAGAAAATTCTGAGTCGACGACTTTTCATGTATATTTGTAGTATTTGATTACAAGCCAAGCCAAAACATGTGAACACAATAATGTACAAACTACAATATGATGTGTGTGTGTGTGTGTGTAGGTCACGCGAATGATATTTAGAATGCCATTATTTTCAATGTGAATATTATTATAGTGTTAGGCGTTAACGGGCCATGTGTGAGTGACTGTAAAATGTATATAAAAACATACACTAATAAAATACCAGTATATTATATTTGTCGGTCTCATTGTTGCGCGAAAAACGGCATAAAGCTAAATTGCCAACCGTGTCGTTATGCGAGGAATGATATTTTGGTACAATTTTATTATATAATGGGTCTCTACGTTGGCATTTATTAAGGCGCATTGTATAGGCAATTTTTCATTAAAACTGAACATTAAGCTAACATTCTCAAGCGTTTTAATAGGTATACATATTGTCAATAACTTATTGATAAAGAAACGGGAAAGTATGGTTTTCGGTATACAAAAAAATACTTCTCTGTCCCACGTCATTGCTAATACATTATGCATAATGCTATAAGCCTGTATTGGTGTAAATAATAAATTACAAATTATTTTCTATTTGACCCACTTATGTAGAACGACGTTTGTTGTCTGTCAAAAGTTTAGTTATAATATCTTAGTATTATTATGTTGTTCTATAGTATTCTTGACTTCTATTTTTTCGGAATAGAGCAAAACCATAATACACACTTTCTAAGACATGGTCGTCTAGTTGAGAATTTTGTAAAACAAATATTAAATTATAGGCGTCAACAACCAAAAGGAAAAAAAACCTTTTATTTATTGAGAAATATCGTGATTAGAAAGTCATAGGAATATCAAAAACCGATTAATAGTTTAATATAATATTTCCATATAACTCCTTACGTTCACGACCCTCATTCACTAAGTAGTATAGGAATGACACTAAAACCTATATTTAAATCGATTATTGTCAAATATATTCTACCAAGAATACCTTTACCATCTAATCTACCCAATTCACCTTGAAGACAAAATATGTGTTGCTAATTTTATTTTTAAACTTAGGATATTAAAACCGTAGCACTCACTAAATGTAGCATACTAAGTTATTGACTAGAGGCCGTTTTCACTAGTTTAGCTTAAAAAATAAGTATATTGAGTTTATTGATACTCAAAATATAGATCACATATGTACGCTAACATACATAAAGGTAAATAAAATAGTAAAAAGTAAGTAAATATTTAGTGTTTGTGGTTGACCAAAGAAAAGATGGATGGTTTGGCACCCGATGACGTCAGCCGATAAGGGATTAGTGATAAGAAACCATTGGTTAGAGATAAACCGTTTATCATAAACGATAAGAGACATTTGATTAGTGAAATAACAGTAGAGATAAGATATTAGAGAAAAAATAGAGATAATGCATTAGATATTACATATTAGAAATACTAGATTAGAGACAAGATATTAGAGATACTATAGTCTGTATAATATATTATACAGATGATCACAGAAAACAAATCACAAAGTGGGTCAACTTACGGTGAATAGACTATAGATTAAAGATAAAAATAGAGATAAGATATTAGAAATACTAGATTAGAGACAACGGATAAGAGATAGGATATTAGAGATACTAGATTTAAAAAAAGAAATAAGAGATAATGGATTAGAGATAACAATAGAGATTAGATATTAAAGAAAAAAATAGAGATAATATATTAGAAATAATAGATAAGAGATAAAAAATAGAGATAACAGTAAAGGGAAAATATATTAGTGATACTAGATTAGTGAAACGAGATAAGAGAGGAAAATATAGATTATATATTAGAAATACTAGTTTAGAGATAAAATATAAGAGATATGCGGTAAGAGATTAGAGACAAGAAAAGTACCAGGGTCTTATACTTGAACGTAAAAACATGTACATGTGCCTATATGTATCCGGTTGTAGTCTTTATGTGTCTCATACAGGTATTGACCAAAGACAGTGTGACCGTGTCCGTGGACGCCGTGGTGTACTACCGGGTGTGCAACGCTACCATATCCATCGCTAACGTGGCCAACGCACATCAGTCCACCAGATTATTGGCGCAGACCACACTGAGGAACGTGCTGGGCACCAGACCCTTGCACGAAATCCTCAGCGACCGGGACGCCATATCGAAGACAATGCAAGCCTCGTTGGACGAAGCTACGGAATCGTGGGGGATCAAAGTGGAAAGAGTGGAAATGTAAATTGACGATAAACAATTTTTAAACTGAAATCGAACACTGACTCCTCCTCGGCGTACTCGTTGTGTGTTCTAGCAAAGACGTTAGGCTGCCCGTGCAACTCCAAAGGGCCATGGCGGCCGAGGCCGAAGCCGCTCGAGAAGCCCGAGCTAAGGTGATCGCTGCCGAAGGAGAACAGAAAGCGTCGAGGGCTCTTCGCGAAGCATCCGAAGTCATAAGCGATTCTCCGGCCGCTTTACAGCTCAGATACTTACAGGTGACGGTTTCAAAATGTATATTATGTTTTATCGCTGGGGGTCAGGACCTAAACATTTTGACCGAAACGTAACGCTGGATGTCACATTCGGCGGCGGGAGATTAGATTAGAGATAAGAATAGAGGTACTTTATTAGAGACAGGCTGTCCGGACCCGGCGTTGCCCGAGATTTAGTCTGCCAGGGCTAAGTAAAATAATTCTCATATCCCCATTCCCACCACCATCCCTCATTTCTAATCTCTAATATGTTATATTATCAGATAACAGCGTGGCAGCGTTTTTGTGACACTTTTTTCGGTTATTATGTCCTCCTCTTACTCAAGGGCCCCAGTCCTGGTCCCAGATCCGTTCCAACAGTTAAAAGCTTGTCCAGAATCGTGGTACATAGAATCGGCCTGTTCCTTTAATCATCCATTTGCTCGAGTACCGCGGTTACTATGGTTACAAACCAAGTGTTTATTTTGGGTTACCATGGTTACACACATTTAATTTATTTACATTTCGTATTTAAAGTACAAAGTTCGTGTTTGAGGCCACCCTTAGGGGTGGAATTTTCGTAAAGTACTATGCCAGTTAGGTTCGCGGGAGTGTACTCAACAACTTCCCAATGTTTCATGGCGATCGGATGAATGGTGTACTAATGCATAAAGGACAGACAAACAAACAGACAGACATTCATATTTTATATATATATATATATATATATATATATATAGATAATAGATAATGAGAGTAGAGATAAAAATAGAGATAAGTGATTAAATAGAGATATAAGAGATAAAAGAAAAAAATAATAACAGATTAGAAAAAAAGATTAGAGAGAAAAATAGAGATAACGGATAAAAGATAATGTATTAGAGATACTAGATTAGAGAATGAAAATAGAGATAAGACGATTAGAGAAATTAAATTAAAAAAGAAGAATAAGAGATAAGAGATAAAAATAAAGATACCGGCTTAGAAGAAAAAAATTAGAGAGAAAAATAAAGATAATGGCTTAGAGATATGATATAAAATATATATTGTAATAGAGATACTAGATTAGATATTATAGACTAGAGATAAAAATAGAGATGTCATTAGAAATACTAGATTGGAGATAAAGTATAAGAGATATGTGGTAAGAGATTAGAGATTAGAGATAAGAAATATACCAGGGTCACTTGAACGTGGGCTAATGTATTCGGATACTCGTTAGTTTTTTTTAGAATAGGTTTGACACGTTTGATTCCACTATTCGGGATCTCACAGGACTCCGGTAAGCACTCTACAACAGGCCAAGAACTTCCTCCAAGTCTCTGACCAAGAATCTACAGTGTCAACCTCAATTCCTGACAGCTTTAATGATCCCGGTATGCACAGGGATGCTTCTCTAGTTGACCTTTGTCAATCAAAACTGGGAGTTTGATCGTTTCACTTAGTCACCCATTCGGAAGTGTGCATTCCATACATTTTGTAGATCTGACATTTTCCTATTTTTGGAGTTTGGGTCCAAGTTATATTCCCAGAAAGGTTTTGTCTGGTCAAAGCAACAATTTTAGCTCTTATTTATGGTTGGCGGCGTTGCTCGAAGAGGAGTTGCTAAGGTCTTATAAGGACCCAAGCGACGCCAACAGCCGTTAACCAAAACAATATAATATATTCTATTAATAACGTGGCATAAGATCCTCAATTGGCTTTCTCGAGGAATTCTCACACATACGGATTTGTGCAATAAGCTAATTTTTGTACACATTGCACATCTGGCAAATCGTTTAACGACTCTCGTGTTGTACACTATGTTCACTTGTCTACACGTGGTCAATATGTATACATAATATATATCAACATACTTGTTATATTTTTGTTCTCAGACCTTAAACACAATATCGGCCGAGAAGAATTCCACGATTGTATTTCCTTTGCCGATCGACATCATCTCTTTCTTCACCAGACCTCGCGAACCGAAACACACTGAAACCGTTTAATAGCAAACGCTTGAAATTACAAGTAAAAAAAAAAATCACTAAATTGCATAGACATTTTTATTTTTTTTTTAAATAGAAAACAAAGTTTCCTAACCAAGTTGAAACCCAAGCTAAAGCGATACCTATTACTACCGTGTACCTATTAAACACATTTTTTGGTCCAACTCAATTGTTTTCAATATGTTTTACTTACTCAGCACTATAACTATATAATTGATTATTTCTTTCTTATGAATTATATCATATTATGACGGTTTTGTACAATTATGTACACGCGCCCAAGTAATTTCTGTATAATAATCGAATTAAAAGAAACGAGAAAAACGTTAACTATATAATATTTAAATTTAACAAAAAAATTGCATTTAAAAACTACAATAATTGTTATTGCATGCAGAGTTGTGCATCATTCGGACAAATCGTTATTTAAATAATCATATCTAGACAACACACTATTCTAGTAAAAGTTATTGGAATAATATTTTTATTCCAATAAAAATCATTGAAATAGTTTTAAAATTCAATTGTTTGAGTACAAATTTGTGGGAATCATTTTTAAAGTGTTATGTAACAGTTTGTAAGAGTGTTTTTTGTGAAATAATGATTTAAATAACGTTTTGTTTGAACAAGAATTTTCACAACTCTGATTATACAATGCACCTTTAATGGATATCTAACGATATTGTGTGAAAGCCTACATTTGTGTTAACTATAATGATAATAATAAATATTATAACTCTCTAATAATAATAATAATTTGTTAATGTATGGCCAATTTGCTGAATTTAATTTTAAACTTGAGAATTTAACGTGTGCCCGAGAATTTACTATTGTTTAATCTGGTCAAGGGAGGAATGTGTTTTGATACATAAAACACGGCAACTACAGAACTTGCTTTTTAATTTTAAACATTGTTAATGAACATACTTGACATTTTCCTTTATTAGATTTGCTGACTTCTAACGTGTTTCTATACATATATCAAACAAACGTTTTTTAACGTTCTCTGTTTTTTCTGTTGAACTAAGAAAAATTATAAATATTATAACAGTGAAAATATCAAAAAAAAAAAAAACAATACCATTTAAAGTAGTTCATTAAGTTAATTTATTTATAAATAACATTTTTAAAGTTGTCATGTTTTATATCACAATATAAAAAAAAAAAACCGTATAATATATTCCTCTCTGTCAAGAAAATGATAAAATTTAAACAAACAGGGAACTAATGCATTATTATATTTCAATGTTACCAACTTTATAGCTGTGCCATTACTAACTGTAATATTATAATATTATCTTGGAAATAAAATATGACCTCGATAGCTTGGCTTAGCTTAGCAGGATGATTATACTTATCTAGTCAGTCGCCTTTCATTTATTATGTTAAATAATATATGTTTTTTCTCAACGTTGGCAAATTTGCCGCCCTCGTATATTAAATTTAAAATCAAAATTCTTATCATCAAATTACAACATATTAGTTATTACTGTTTTTTTTTTACCTTTGTCATAGAATTGTAATGTGAATTGATTAGACATTGTTTTTATGAAACTATAGTGTACCGGATGATAACTGTAGTAAAACCGTTATAATTGTAACGTTCACTTCAATCTTTTATGTACAGTTGTAATGAATTATGGTATTATTATTATTAATTTAGCTACGTTGTTGAGTTTTTTGTGTTATTAAAAATATGTTATTATTAACTATGAAAAACTAATAAAGACATATTATATCCACATATTATATATACCTTTACAATTGCTAATCCAAATCGGCTAACGAATATTAGAACTGATCAAGTAAGCAAAAAAGGCGAGCCGCAGTGTGACCACAATGGCGAAGTTACATTTCACCGGTACATTTTTTTTTGCAATTGTTTCACTACTGCAACCATGTATGTAATACAAAACATATTAATATTATTACAGTTATTATACTATCACATTTTGATATCGCCTATAAGTTGTCTATTAATCGATAAGGATGTGCAGTGTTTAACGACTTAGTAAAGAAAGTATTTATTTTTATTTAAAGTGGCCGCACTGTCATTCGTGTCTTCGTGATTACTTTTCTGCTGATTACAAGGTAAATAATGTTTTTACTCTTATGGATAGATTTCAGTCCAAACGATTCTAGTTGTTGAACAAAATATCAATGTACCATTTTTATGTAACCCGTTTAAACGTTTTTTTTTAATCTAACCTTTAATGGACTTTCCTGGGGGAAAAAAATGATAACCTTGCGGGTAAAAATTCATACAAAAACTTTATATTTAAAACATAAAAAATTGTATAAAAATTAACATTAAATGATGGAAAAAAAAATAAAACAAACAAACAATAATATCCACGTTTAAATGTATATGCTTATAAATATCTATTACGTTCAAACGAGAACGCTGTTAATTAACAATATAATATAAAATAAATAATTTGACTAAGGCCTCGACATGTCGGACTCGAATATCGCTAATTAGGAATGATCGTAGGTGTTAGTCACATATTATAATGTTTTTATTCTTCCTTTATATGATGATAATCTATATTATTATCATTACAATAGGAACGTACTCGCGGATACAGCAATACACAGTGGTGGTTATACATTATTATTATCGTCAGTCGGCTATATATATATATATATATACCGGTACGTCTTAGACAATAAATTTAAATATTCTATACAGATAAAAAAAATCTATAAATATGCGGGTAATAGTGTAATCTCGTGAATAGGTTTGTTCGAAGAAATCAAATTACACAAAAAAAACTGTTAAACGAATAGCAGCATGAAAACTATATACACAATGATGAAAATTTGAAGAAAAAATAAATACATTTTCACTGAACAGGGTCAGAAGCAAGTCACGTGTCACGTCTTGTGGGTTTGAGTGGATTTTTATGTTTGCAGCCCCCCCCCCCCCAAGTATACAGGGTGTCTCAAACAGAACGGCGGGGTTTCAAGCGGGAACGCGCAGAGGCGACATCTAGCGGCAGTCATTGGAAACTCGACAACTTTCGTTCAAGCCCTACCAGAGCGCGCTGTAGGGCTGGAATACTTGACAACCTACAGCCGTTTGAAACCCCCCACCAGTTCTTTTTTGGCACACTCTGTATATTATATCTGTACCGAAGTGGTGTACTTGCAATCGGCCACGGTCACGTTGGTGTAATCCGGCATGTTGTCCAATATGTGTTGGACCTTCTGTTCGACGTCTTCGAAGCGGTGCACTTGGTCTCGGTCGTCTCCTTCTTCGTGCCGGACAGCAAGTACTTCCGGTTCCGGTTCGGCGGCGGAAGTACCGCCACGGGTCAGCTGCAGGGTGCACGCGATGCCGGTCATGCACCGGACGGCCGAAGCGCCCAGGGCCTGCGAGGCTGTGGCCGTGGTGGTCCTGGACGGGCAGCACTCGGACTCTTCCATGATGGTCTCGGCCGTGGTCGATCCCACGGGAGAGTACATCACGTTGCCGTAGTCGTGGCCGGAAAAGTCCACGCTCTTGTTCTGCAAGAACGTGGAGAACGAGTGCGGTTGGTCGAAGTACGACGAGAACGACGATTTCTGCAGCTGAAACGAAAAAAACCAAGGCCGGTCGGAATTTTAACGTGGCTAGGTAAAACAGCTGATATTAATTGGGGGGGGGGGGGGGGTTAATGGGCAAAATGGGTTTTACCAATTTTTCGACATGGATAATAATATGTCTTATGGCCGGAGGTCATTTTGTCCGTCGCGTTTTCTGTCACAGTGCTGACGTCAGCATTATGGATTATGGAGGAGTATTAAGGAATTATGGAGGAGAATTACGTAAGGATTATGGAGGAAGATCGTGTATGGATTATGGAAGAATTTTGAAGAAGGATCGTGTAAGGATTATGGAGGAAGATCGTGTAGGTATTATGGAGGAGAATTATGGAGATGAATTAATAGAGATAGTGGATAACAGATAAAATATTAGAGATACTAGATTGCAAGACATATCCATGTATTGATTTATCTGCATGAAGTGTGGATACTCTTACTTTGATTGTTGTTTATGATCAATCATTCTTCCATTATTTCCTTTTAACACCCACTTTTAACATGTACATGTTTTATCGCTGGGGGTCAGTCTAAAAATTTGGCCGAGGCGCTGACACACACTGACGTCCCACTTGGTGGCGGCGGAGGAAGGAGGGGGGATTAGAGACATAAATTAGAGATAATATAAGATTAAGAGATAAGATATTAGGGATACTAAATTAGAGATCAAAATAGAGATAATGAGTATTAGAGATACTACATTAGAGATCAAAATATAGATAATACATTAGAGATCAAAATAGAGATAATATAGTAGAGATAAAATAGAGATAATGGATTAGGGATAGTAGATTAGAGATTCTAGATTGGAGATAAAAAAAGTACCAAAAAGTCCAGGGTCCTATACTTGAATATAAAGACTTATACATTTGCCTATGTATCCGCTTGTAGTGTGGATACTCGTTAGGTTAGGATATTATTATTATTAAGTGAATCCTTTTTGATATTATGAGTTATGGATGTATTATATATTTAAGTGATGTTAAAATTAAAATTTCTAATGATTTTGCTTGTATATTATATTTAATATGATATCATTATCTTCGTGAAGCTTAACAGGCCTTGATGGCCCAACTCTCCAACATGAGATTATGGCTTCTAAACAAATTCAGTCCCCAGTCAGAATGTAGATCTGACTAACATCTGTAGTCTAACATGTTTTTTATTACACTGTTTTGTACCGGATTTTTATTTCAAAATGTTAATACATATCCACTTACCTTGCCGTCGTCAACATGGTCTTGATGATAGATGTTGTTGTCGTTGACGCTGCTAACGCTAACTGTGCTGGATCTCCCACACGAGTTGGAACCTATCGACAAAAAACGGGCGATAATATTAATAATTATATCAAATTGTCATTCTGTAATGTGCTTAATGACTTACTGCTAGAACTCTGAAGGCTCAGACTGCTGGTAGGTCGTTTCGACGGGTGCTCAGAACCGTTTCGTTTGATGATATTGTCCGAAGAACCGTCAGATTCTAAAAAAAGTCAAATGCACAGTTTCTATATTTAGACTTGAATTGGGTTTTCAGGGAAAGGACATGATTTTACTTGGTCTCATAAAAACCCATGTAAAAATGTGTACAGTTTCTTTTCTGTTTATTCTGTGGTATTATACTCGATGAGAAGACAAAACTGGTAAACAGTAGATGGGAAGAAACGACAGATGAAATAAAACCAGATAGTGCACTTCATAGCAAAACAATAGATTTTCAAAAAACATAGTTTTCAAATGGTTTAAACTTAATGCAGTAGGACCAAACAATTATAGTGCCGAAAATAATGCACACACTATTTACAATAATAACGTGAACTGATAAGAGTTACTGATAACAAGTAGTTGATTAACGAAGGTTGGTAACATTATCAAATTTATTTGACCACACCGTAAAACAGAAGGATTATTTTGTTCACTGTTTGGTCACACTGACCTGAAGATACTTATCACATAAAAACGCGACGGCCATAGTCTTAGAGCGTCGCAGTGCGACCATTTTCGTAAAACTAAAAGTAGAATATAATTTTTATACGAAAGTCAAAACAATAATTGATTTAATGACTAGAAAAATTGCTTTAAGAGGTTTTAATATGTACAAGCAATTAAAAAATGTATGTTATAACTCATTTAAACAAATATATTTTATAAAATACAAACCGTAATATCAATATTTTTAACTGATAGTACTAAATAGATAAGAAAAGATAAGGGTACGGTCATTGTATGCCCTTTCAACATGGCCGTCACGTTTTTCTTTTCTTTAAAAGTGTGACCCTTCTGCTTTTATCTATTCGGTGGTTAAGTTTGTTCGGAGTGCTTGGACTTAATTTTTTTGGAATGCTCTATCGGGTTTTATATTTTAATAATCTGTGCCAACACCGTATGCATGTTAGCGAAGAACAATATCAATAACCGGTTTTAATTTGTTAGGTAAAGTACTTGGTTTTCGATTAACCCTCGTGATTCGCTTACGTTTATTAGATTTTCCTTTGCCAAAGAATTTTTTTATGCGTTCAAAAGGAGTGGGACGTTTCAACTGATCTTTCATTCGTTGCTGAATCCGGTCGTATTCCGCCCGCATTTGATTGAGTTGTTCCTAAAAAAAAAATTTTAAAAATGTCAACATGTTTCTTCGGTGGATATACATAACATAATTTACAACGAACAAACTGACCTGTTTTTCTTTGAACGATTGTTGCACGTCGTGACGGTTTTTCCAGGTTTCCACTAAGTTTTCCACTTCGTTAATGGTCAAAACGTTGTTTTTAAAGTCGTGGATGATCTCCAACAGCTCATCCTGAGGCGTAGACAGAGTATGGTTACTACCTGAAAAATAAAATTCATAATAATATGAAAATGTCGATTGTGTTGAGAGGAATAATTTACCTCGTGAACTGTTGGTGGAAAAGTCGTTGGATCTATGCGCCGATTTGTTGTTGATGCTGTCGCCGAGGGAAAGGTTTGCCCGCAAGTGATTGGCCGATCCCAATGCTATAAGACAACATGACAATGATTTAATCAATCTTTCCCTCGATCCAAACACATTGGAGACCACGAATATGTCCTGTGATCACCAGGTTTTACCGTCACTCGTTATTAACCAACTCTTATTAGCCGATTCTCCTTGATTTTAGACTTGATAAATATGAAAATTTCTTATCACTTATTCCTTATCAGCTCTCTCTTATCAAACGTTATATACATAAATATCTATATATCACGCGATACTCTCGACACTGATTGAATAAAACCGGATAGTGCACTCGATAGGATTTCAAATAACGATTTTCTATATGCCAAATTATAGTGCCGAAAATATTGTACACATTATTTACAATTATAACTTTAACTGATAAGAACCACTGATAAAAAGTAGTCGATAAACGAAGGTCGATGGTGATAACATTATCACATTTATTTGACCACACCGTAATACAGAAGGATTATTTTTTTCATCGTTTGGTCACACTGACCCGGGATTGTTAAAAGTTTGTTTGGAGTGCTTGGACTTAATTTTTTATAGTGCTCTATCGGGTTTTATATTTTAATCTGTGCCAAAACCCTATCCATGTTAACGAAGAACAATATCAATAGGTAAAGTATAAAACCAGATAGTGCACTCTCTATCTCTAGATTTTCGATTGGTTTAAACTCGACGCAGTGTGGCCAAATTATAGTGCCGAAAATATTGTACAAATTATTTACAATAATAACGCAAACTGATAAGAGCCACTGATAACAAGTGGTCGACGGTGATAACACTACAGATGTAGTGTTATCACACTGTAAAACAAATTCTACGATTTTAAGATTGATAGCCTCAAGACATATTCGTGTGGATGTTGTATTTCGGACGTTATGTCTTACTTGTGCCCATGTCCAAGTATCCACAAGGCGAAGCTGTGTCGACGGGCGAGGAAGGCATCGGTGGCGTGGACGACCGCGTACCCGCCGGGCTGTAAGGTCGGCCGTTGGTGGGCACTTGATAGTTGGTAGAGAATATCGACTGCGGCGGCGGTGGAATCTGGTAGTTGAACATGGCGGCGGCGTTGGAGTTGGAGTTGTTCAGGGGCGACCCGACGTTGGTGTAAAAATGTTGGCTGCCCTGCGGTTCGACCGGTCTGGGCGCCGGCGGCACTAAGTAACTGTCGTCCAACGGCCGTGGCAGCAGATAATTGCCGTCCGGATCGTCTTTGGTTGGATGTCCGTCGGATATGCCCTTCAAGATGCTGTACATGCTGGTCAGCTCGGTCATTTGCATGTAGCCCTTGAGGGCTTGGGCGAGCTTCTGGTGGTTGGCGGCTTCGGCCACGTCGGCCGGAGTCATTTGGTTGGCGTTGCGCAGTTGGCAAGCCTGTTCGCCGCCGGGACTTTCCAGCAGGTGCCACGACAGTTTCTCCAACCCGAACTTGGCGGCGAAATGCAACATGGTGGGATACTCCTCGTGACAGTACTGGTACCTGGATCCGGCCGGCTGAAGGAGATGGAAGTTGGGAGGTACGTTTTTCACGTAAGAAGTGACCAAAAACAAGTCCAATTGTTCCCTGTCCGCCGGATTCAATCCGAAAGTCTGCGTGAACGCACAACCGGAAATTATTATTGTTATGCAAAACCACAGTTAGGTTTGGTTAGGTTAGGTTAGGTTAGGTTGATCGTCTTACCTGGCACAAAAAGCTCATCGGGTTATCTAACGAACGCAACAGCTGATCCAATTCTCTCATGCGGCTTTCACATTTCACTGACCTTTGACCCAACGATTGACCGTTTTTCTCGACAATAACGTTGACCAGCACGGAAACTTGCAAACAGCTCACTATAAATGAAGTTATGATTCAAAGACACGCGTTACGTTAAAAATAAAAATGTAATACCACAGAGCAGAATAAACAATCAAAATAAACTATCCAATTTTTACACGGGCTGGGACGAGATGTAAAATATCATGTACGACATCTTGAATATGATCGAGAAATGGGCAGTGCCGATAGATGTGGGGAAATTCCCATTCGTTCTGGCTAAACTGTTTACTGGACAAACGCGGAAAATGGCGACGACGTTGTTGTCGGCGTACGGTATTTAATAAAATATGAACAGTGTAGCCATAATTCACAGAAAAAACTAAAAACACGGTAATATCCGTATTCTGGCATCACTGGGCCTAAAACTCTACATGTCTGACCGTTTTTTGATATTAAGCTCTAAGATTTTCCCTTTTGTTTATTCTGTGGTAATACTATATTATTTCCACAACTAATTTTATATTTTTATGTATATAAATATATCATACGTGGCATTTTAAATTGCAAAGTGTACGGATTTCTTCTGGTCACGTTTGTCATTTCCATTTTGTGTCCGTTTTTGTCCACACTGATAACGATATTGTCTTCCGGGTTCAAAGGTTCGGACAGCAAAACTATGAGTTTGTTTTGGCCCTGAAACAGGTTAAAGATCCAAAAATGTACAACGGACACAGCTGCGTCTCCTGAATTCCTGTGGTCTACTTACGATTTTGATTTTTTTCGGTGTGATCGAGAATTTCGCATCTTCTTCGGACACGCTTGTCGAGTGCCGAGCGTGCATGGACTTGCTGAGAATGTCCATGGACACACCGTAGAAATCGCCAACCGACTCCCTGTCTTGATCCTTTACGGCCATTCTCCTCCATTTATCATAATCGACCAGCACTGTATACAAAATTAAATGTAATACTTGGTTGTTTTTTTTTTGGCTTCAATGCGGAGCTGAGAAGCTATTGTATTTACAATTATGTGTTTTTATTATTAACATGTATATGTTTTTTTTTTGCTGGGAGTCGTTATAAAAATTATAGGGGTCATTCTAGAGATAACGGATTAGAGATAAGAGAAAAGAGAGATAAGATAAAAATAAAGATAATGGAATTAATATTATATATTAGAAATAATGTATTGGAGATACTAGATTAGAGAAAAAAATTGAGATAAGAGATAAGATATTGTATTTACAATGGTGAGTTTTTACCTAAACATTTGTCCGGAACGTAACGCTGAATGTCACACTCGGCCGCGGCGGAGGAAGGAGGGGGAGATTAGATTAGAGATTACAATAGAGATAATTTATTAGAGATAAGAGATAATAGATTAGAAATAGGACATAAGAGAAAAAAATAGAGATAATGTATTAGAGATACTAGATTAGAGAAAAAATAGAGATAACGGATAAGAAATACTAGATTAGAGATAAAATAAAGATAAGAGAAATGAGAGTAGAGATAAAATAAAGATTATAGAGAGAGATAAAAATAAGATAACAGATAGGGAAAAAAAAGAGATTAGAGAGAAAAATAGAGATATGAGATAAAATATAATTGTATTAGAAATACTAGATTAGAGTTAAAATATAAGAGATATGCGGTAAGAGATTAGAGTTTAGAGATAGAAAAGTACCAGGGTCACTTGAACATAAAGACATTTACATGTATCCGGTTGTAGAGTGGATACTCGTTAGTTTTATTTTTTATTTTTGTGTCTATACCCACGATATCTTCTAAGCCCCTGAACCGATTTCTTCGTGTAGCAACTTTATAGATCAGAAATTGTACTTGTAAGGTACTTTATTAGGCTAAATATTTAAAGAATTCATTCCTCCCCCTTTAAAATCGACAAATTTACATAATATTTTTCAATCTGAATTTACGATGCTCTATAACTTGCTTAAAAATAGTCCAATTAATTCCAAATTTGTATAGAATATTCTTTAAGCATAGTACTAACGACAAACGTCGACAACCTAAACTATTATCGTACACCCTTTTCTCCTAGAAGGATTGGCATTTTTTTCTTTCTTTCGCTTTTTCATGCAAAATTTTCATGGGTTTAGATATGCAAATTAGACCAAATGTAGATCTAGAATGGAGAAACTATGACTTATAAAATGTTCTCAAAAATCTGTAATCAAACAGACCGTCCCAACTGTACTAGATTTTTTTTTAATTACTCTCATCAGACACTCACCGGTCTTGTGCTGTTCGGTTATGTCGTTTTCGGTGACACCGACCAATAGGGCCAACATACGGTTGGTTTGCAGCAAAGCGGCAAAAGATTCTGAACGGTTTGAATGCGAAAGTATTCTCTCCAGGAATATCGGGCAAACCAACACTATTTGGAGTCTAGCTTGACTGCATCTTTCCTGACGAGGTGCCGACATTACACCGGACAAAACGTCTTCCAGTCTTACTCTTTGAATTCTAAAAACAAACAAAAAACACAGCTATTTACTTTTGTTTGGTCAATAATGTTTATGGTATTGTCATAGATTTCGAATAAAGCGCCTTTGCCAGAATACTAAGATGAGCAATCACGCCGTTTTAACAAATTATGTAACGCTATATAATTTAACTACTGGATTGTTTCCAAAAACGATGACTAACAGTCGGCTTTAGCTCGGCTTCGTTCTTAAAAAGTGCGAATGGTTAATTACCGAAAAAAAAAAATGTAATAAAGATATGTTTTGGCGCCATTCAAATGTCTGGACACAAATCCTCTATGAATCGTGTCTTGTTTGTTCTTTGTTCTGTATCAAAAGTTGAACGTCCTCTCTCTTTCTCAGAGCTGATATAAACCGCCCAAATGAAAATAAATAAGGTCTTGGAACTTTGATTATAAGATGCCTTATAGATATCAATAGAGTGCAGTAAACACATAAAAATGGCTTATATATATGTAAAGGATATATTTACCTCTTTAGTAGCTACTTGTGTTGTTTGTTATCATGGAATACTATCTGTTATCAATCTCTGCAGCGAATGCTTATGATACAGCAGGTTGATAACAGATAGGATGAGTTGAGTATTAGTATTGAGTAAATATTATTATATTAAAAATTGTTATGTTTATGACTTCAATTGCCGTTTATTTGTTACAGGTTTGTATATTATACAGTAAAAATAGGCATGTATGTAAATAATAAAATAAATAATTTGTTACAGATCAACACGATTTGTCTATTATTATAAATTATAAGGCACCCTTATACAGGGTGTTCCATTATGAATAGTAAGTAGGTGATTCGACACCTGGGGTACCCCTCAAATAAGCCCCCCGTTTTTATCAAGTCAATAATTGAAGGTTTCGACAGTTAAGTAAAAAATATTAACTTAAAAAAAAATTATTCCCTGTTTATCAGTGCAAAAAGCTGACCTTAAAAGAGGGGTCACATCATTTTCAGTCTCTTTAGGCCCCTAACTCTTCTCTTATCATGTATTTCCTACCTCTAGTCTCTAATCATTTATCTCTTATCACTAATATCTTATCATTTATTTCTAATCTCACATCGTTTATCTCTTATAAGTTATCTGTTAGAATTTATTTTTTATCACTGATCATTTACTTCTTATTAATAATAATTTTATTCTAATAATTTTTCTCTTATTATTTTTTAAGTTAGGGATCGAAAGGGACTGAAAATTATTTGACCCCTCTTTTAAGGTGAACTTTTTGCACTGAATAACAGGAAATAATTTTTTTTTAAGTCATTATTTTTTTACTTAACTGTCGAAACCTTCAATTAATGACTTATCGAAAAAAATAAAACGGGGGCTTTTTACTTAGTATTCATGCTGGAACACCGTGTATATATTTTTATTATAATATTAATCATTTCTAATTTTTCCATAAAAATTAAAAAAATTCACGCAGTAAAGGGTTAATTACAACCACGTTTACATCTGTTTGCTTGCCTAGACCTAGATCCGAATCCCTTTTTATTCGAGCCATTTTCCATAAGGTTTTTGACTTTTTCGCATAAAATTATAACTTGAAACATTTTTTCAATACTTTTTTTAATGTGACTTTCCATTTTTGGCCATGCACTCTGCCTAAACGCGTAGGCAAATTTAACATAAACATTTACCTGTACTGTGATTTGTTTTCCTTTTGATTGAAATGCTGGAAGCATTGTATCAGGAAATTGATCCACATCATAGCGGCCTCGCTGTCTCCGCTCGATACGATCACGATGTCCAAACAATCGGACTTCATGCCTAAAAAAAAAACCAAACAAAAGTAAATCTTATAAATCTTTGATTTTTTTTTTTTTGTATTTTCATATACATAGTCCAAGGTGTATATTATGACTACTACGAGGGGAGACTAAAATATAGGAGTGCCGTTTGTCCGGAAAACGTTATCAGCGCGGACTGTGTCCTCGGTATTATCATATATATATATATAACCTATAGAGCTCTTCTTATTGGGATCTTCTTCTTCCTGTTAGGTACAATTAATATTTTAATAACGGGCACACGGTGTGATAAATGATAATACCATACACTATTGCGCAAATGTATAAACGACGGTGCTGAAGAATGCGCCATCAATAATCATCATAATAATAATAGTAATAATTAGACCCACAGACCGTTTGCGCTGGAAGGAGGGGTACCTTCTTAATTAATACAACATGTATTAATGCGCCCAAGTGTATTGTCTTCAATACAAGCTGCTGTTGACTTGTTGCATAGTAAGTATGGTATTACCATAGTATGGCGCCTTCGACGATTGCATGTCAATGGATTTATGTGACGTTAAAACAACCGCATACGGTGGCAATTATATATATATAATCAAAAACGAGTGGAGACAAAGTTTTTTTTATTCGAGTTGCCGAGAAAATGGTAAGAAAAAAAATCCTGGTAAAAGTTTTTTCGGGCGTGCATCAATCCAAAAAAAAAAACCCCTATAAGACATATATTTTTACCTTTGACACTTTATAATAGAAGAAATTCACAAAACATTTCAGCAGCTGATATTTTAATGGGAATGATAATTTTTAGCACTTTCCAACATGTTACCAATAAGAAACCTTTAGCGATAGTCAACCGACCAACATTATTGTATAATATAATCTAATATATGGAAACATGATCTATGAATGAATTTCTCATTTGTGGTGTCCATCAAAATAATGTACCACTACAATTATTATTATTATACGAGATTAAATAGGTAGTTTTTTTGCCGTAATCGTAGACCGTATTATTATAATAGAGTATTTTGACTTCTATTTCAACCGCATTATATTATAATAATTGTTCATATTATATTATTATAAAAAAAAAGGATAAAAAGATAAGGTTATAAGAAATTTGACTACGGTTTATGGCCAACGGTAATCGATAAAATTAGGTACATATTATTATTATTGTAATAAATTACTGTTATATAGCTTTTTAAATATTTTAATAACACATCACATTCGATTGGGTTGTTCCTAAGATAATAGTTTGTTTGATTAGAATAAGTCGACATTTTTAATTTGTTGACGTTTTTGGTTTTTTTTTACAAGCCAACTTTATTGTACGCACAATTTAATTGAGAATTATTATAATAAGTTTAAAATGTATAATCTGACCTAACGGCTAACTCTAAAACAATCATATATTATAATAGTTGATTACCTGCAGATTGTGATAACCGCCAAATGGAACAAATTTTTTCTGGTAGAATTATCAGAGTTGACCAAGTTTAACGTTTTCGGTTTATTTAAGGTTGTTTTGTACGTTTGAACATTTTTATTAACAATAATATGTAAATTCTCGCCGTCACGTGTCGCGAATCATTTTTAATTCAAATTTCTTCTGAGCAATTTTTTTCTTTTAAAATTTTTTTCTTATATAAATTAGAATGTCGGTTTTTTTTCTACAACAGACCGGATATAACATAAAGTCTGACCAAAACGTTTTGGGACTGACAAAAATCGACGGGAAAACGAACACACACACTGACTATGAACAACGTGGACGCTAACAGACACATTACTGAAGCCAAAGTGAGATTACTACACAATCGCAGGCCGGCTGATGATGATGATGATGCCCACGTCCACCACCACCACCACCGCTGTTCTTATCGGTTTGTGTTGGCGACCCATCGGTACACACACACACACACACACGCGATTATAATATAATATAATATTATTTCCCTTTGGACAATAGCAAACTCATGATATTATAATAATAATAACAATAACAATACTATAACAGCGTACAGGGCGATCCGATAAAGATGACACAAACTCGTGTAATTCTACAGCTTATGCGTTTTCCTTTTGGACCATAAAGAGATGAACAGCTAACATATTATTAAACTGGCTTTTATGCGATTGTGAAGTAAACAAAACGAACTAAAACCAGTTTAATGCCACACAAAGAATGAAAAAAAGTGCTCATTGTTACTCTACACGATTAAATACTGTTATCATCGTGAAAAGATACTGTTATCATTGATATCTTATCACCACGATATATTGAACGGTATTTTTTTCCCCTCTAACTGGCCAGACTGACTTTAGTCCTACTGTTTGCATCACATTATAACCACTATTGTAGGAAACATATTTTTTGCTTTGTTTATGTAAAAAAAAAAAATAGCTTTTAACATTGAATTTATTTATTAATCACAAGAAACGTCGATGATTTATCAACTATTAACAAACATAATTTTAGTTAAAATCGTCTAACGTTCTGACCACAGTCGACAATAAATTCAATTGGGAAATCATTGCAACAATATGGTAAACAATAAACTAGGTATTTAGTTAAAGTACAATTTTTTTAATAATCCTCGATAGTAGTTATGTAATAATATAATACCGAGTATTTGTGTAAGTATTGTGCAATCGATAAAAAGTATAACATAACAACACCTAATATAAATAAATATTTATTAGTATTATTTAAAGCGGTAATTTTCTATAATTAAATTGGTTATTTAATTGATTTTTTTTAATTTCAATCATTTGTTTTTATTTTTTAGTTGAAAAAATTGTTTTGTATCAGAATCTTGCAACATCAATATAAGTGTATCAAAATATGGAAATGTTTGAATATTTCTAAAAGTAAATTTAGTGCGTAAAACGATCAGTTTAACAGTCGCAATTTACAATAATATTCGATTCGAAGAAATAGCATTAAATTGGCAACAGGAAGGCGATAAGCAACGCTAATAGTTACGGTTAATGTACCACAACCACAAAGCAACGGTCTGGAAATTAAACACCTTTTAGTATTTAATTGCCATGGCAAGCTCCTCAATGTCTCGACCCTGACTAGTGAATATTAACAGTTATTATTCTGTTCAACTGTGTTAAAATATGTAAAACAAAAAAACTCAGAACTTATCCACTTTCGTCAGTCTCGTGACTCATGCTGTAAATATAATTTGAATTAATTTAATCTCCTTGACCGATGACACAGTGTACACTGTAAGTAACTACAATTGAGTTTTTATATTAGTATATTGCTTAGGTTTTTTTTTACAATTTTTAGTTTATCTACTATCAAAGATATCTTGTTTTTACTAAAATATAAAAAAAATTAAAGGTAATTATATCGTATACAATAATTAAAGGTGGTTCAATCCAATAATCCACCCTGTTTATCCGTTTTCAGCGAGTCAGACATTTAAAAGGTTCTAAATTTAGGTACAAAATGTTCATCTCAACAGTAAGATCAATTCTTCTTCGGTCCATTTTGGCTCTTAACTCGAAAAATTATGTGCCCCTATTAGTTGAGAATTGCATTGAAATTGTATAGAAACATAAATGGAGGAACCTTTTAGTTTTGCTAGTAATTTATGAAAGGAAAATTTTAATTGGAGGTGATAAAATCACTTTTAGTTATAATAATTCCTGTAGACATCCGACCCAGTGTTGCCAACGAATTCCCCAGAAAGTTATCAACAAAATTCCTAGATAAGATAAAATGATTTTAATATATTTTTTTTATAGGTTTTGTGCTACTCAATAGCTATTATTCAATCATTATCTTAAACTTTGAATAGTTAATGAAAACAAATGTCATTATGTTATTTGCATTATGTCGTTTGCTATATTGATAACGCATTTAGCTATGGTAAACATTAGTTAGATTTTACAACCCAACTAACATTGTATTTTATTATATATATTTTAGGAGAAAAACCATATAATATCTCTAAGCAAAATTCAAATTTCCTAAGTATACGCATAAGGATAAATCCCTAGAGTTGGCAACACTGCTCCGGCCCCGCTGTTCTGGTTTTTTTTTGTATCCGCCTGGCGGGCAATCGTTGTAAACGAAAATCATACTTTTGGATACGGATCACCGCTTAAGTAACAAAATGAAAATCGTTATTGGTTTTTTGAAATTTCCTAATACATTATGTGTGTTTTATTTTTGGCCTCAATGAACACCAGTAGGCAATAACTATTGGCGATGCTAGTCATGACCATGCTGCGGTCTGTGTTGGAATCTTAATGCGAAAAAGTTAAAAGGTATAGCTGGTTTGTTTTTGCTATTTAATATACCGAGCTGGTGCGATTCTTGAGCGGATGACGTAAAATATAATAATAATTAATATTCAAGACGACCTAACCGTGTGTTTTGTTTTCGGAGGCCTTCGGGTGTATATTTATAAAAAGGTATATATTTATATAATATTAATAATAATAACGTACATAGTATCGTTTCGCAGTGTCTCCGAAGGGTTTACCAGTGTGTGTGTGTGTGTATAGGCCTCCATGGACATTAAAATTCACAGCGACTTGCGGTAATTGACCGTTTCCATAACGGAAATTAATATACAATAATAATTTTTAATCGATAAAACAAACACCTACGATAATAGTAATAATATTATTAATATAAAGCGCAAATTAAATTTAAAAAAACAACACGGTGGGGTCTGGGCATGTGGGCGACTGTGATACACATAAATTATAATAAAGCATTGTTAAAGCTATAACGTGATTAAAATTCTACTTTTAGTTTAGGACACAATTTATTAGGGACGATCGACAGTCTATAATACCTTGTCGCCGTTATTCATCTTAATTAATAATATAATAAATATATTGACATTTTATGTCTTTACTATGGCACAAAACCGGAAAAATCGACAGTTTTTTACCTAACGAAAATTTCTGATGATTTATCTGATAAGATAAGAGTGATAATAGATAAAATGTCGCCCATGGTTGCGGACTGTTGTAAAGTGATGG